GGGCTCTAGGACCGCTCTTTTCCTTGCTTGTCCCGCTCCTATGTTGTGGCTCTCTTCTCTGTTCCTCAAACTTGCTGAGCTCTTCCTTCTACCTAGCGTACTGCCTCCCGTTCTTTGCCTGACTGGCTCTTTCTCATTCTCCAGGCCCTTCCCTGACTGCCCCATCAAAGCAACCCCCGCATTCTGCTCTGTTTCGTCAGTTTTCTCTTCATTCATGTGTGAAATGATTTCACTTACGTACTTTTACTTTCTTACTGCCTATCTTCCTTATTAGAATTGGAGCTCCCTGAGGACAGGATCTCATCTGTCTTGTTCACTGGAATTTGTTCAGATTTTTTTCACCAGCTTTGTTCAGAATTCCCAGCACCCAACCCAGGCCTGGCACATAGGAGGCCCTCCAAATTTGTGGAAAAGTTTCTTAAAGGGTTAAACATGGAGTTATCACGTGACCCAGCAATTCCATTCTGGGGCACATAAGTAAGAGAACTGAAGATGTATGTCCACACAAAAACTTGTGTATAAATGTTCATAGCAGCATTATTCATAACAGCCAAAAAGTAGGAACAACCCAAATGCCAGTCAACCAATGAAAGGATAAATCAAACGTGGTATAACCACACAATGGTATATTACCCCACAGCAAAAATGAATGAAGCCCTGATACGACCTATGGCATGAATGAGCCTTGCAAATATTATGATAAGTGAAAGAATCCAGTCAAAGACCACATGCTGTATGATTCCATATGAAATGTCCAGAATAGACAGATCTATTGAGACAGACAGTAGATTAGTGGTTGCCTGTGGCTGGGGAGAGAAGTTGGGGGGAAATAGAGAGCGAGTACTGATGAATAGGGTGTTTCTTTTCGGGGTGATGAAAATGTTCTAAAATTGATTGTGGCAATGGTTGCATAACTCTGTGAATATACTGAAAGCCATTTAATAGTACACTTTAAGTGGGTAAATTGTATGGGATGTGAATTCTATCTTGATAAAACTGTTAAAATTCTTTTGGTGGAATGAATGAATGAATGAATGAATGAATCTGCTCCTTCTGATCACCTCCTGGCTCTTAGGGGAGACAAATCAGGTAGGACAAGCTCCATGAGCTGATCACTGGGCCTGTGGTCTGGACTGGACACTACTCTCTTCTGGAAATGCACAATTGATGCAGGCAACTTATACCATTTATACATATGCCCCGTCCTCCTCTGGGATTCCATCTCCTGGCACCCATGGCACCTCATGGGAAGGATATCCTGGAGGGCCAGACAGAGTCCAGGCCCAGGAGGGGCTCCCGGCAACTTTTTCTCCAGCCATCCACAGCTAGAGCAAAGTATTCTCTTAGTCAGCTGGGCTCTGTCACCCCACCCGGGGTAATTACCCCTTGTTAGCCCCTCTGTATGTGTCATCTGCCCATGTGGATAATTAAACTGAACTTGGGGCTGATGACTTGGGCTGCATTGCATCACACCAGCCTTGGCCCCAGTGCAAACTGGGAGAACTGGCTCTTCCAGACACCCAGAGCGAGTGGAAAGCCAGGGCACCCAGCACTGAGAGGAGGGGAGTGGTGGTGGCACAGGAGGGCTCTCTGATCTTCCTCACTCCTTACCCCAACCCTGGAGCCCAGAGCAGGTGGGGCCATGGTGGATCTAGCTGGGGCTGAGGTTGGCTGGCTGGTTAACCCTACGGTTAGCCTTGAAGCTTTGAACTTGGTGTGCCAAGGCCTGCGGTTTGATGTTGAACAAAGGAAGCCGTGGGCTGCCTTCAGACTCTGAGGTATGGGCTGAGGCCTGAGAGCAAAGGTCAAGTGCCGGAAGCAGGTCTTTAGAATCCTGGTTTCTCAAACTCTCTGCCACAAGACATCAGAGGGTTAGCCTGGAATCAGAAGTTTAAGTGAATGATTCAGAAAAGAGGGTTTCTGATGTTGCTTCCAGTTCTGAGATTCTGTGAATCTGACTGTGAACATCCACTGAGCCCTCAGTCTGTGTGAGGGCTCTACACACATCATCTGAATTCGTACTCACGGAATCCTGTGAGGTGGATCCTATCACAGTAATTTTTCTTTGTGATGGGGAGATCATTGGAAGCAATTGAGTTATTAATTGAGTTAAGTGATTGGCACGTAGTAGAGATTCAATGAAGACTAGTTCACTGACTAACTGATTGCTTAGATTTGTGCTACACATTGTGAAGGGATGCAAGAGAATTACATCAATCAATTCGTGAGTGCTTATTGAGCGCATATTATGGGCAAAGTATTGGCCAATCTCGGAAGGAAGACCAGACTCCCTTCGATTTTTAAATGTTGGTAATTTATCCAGGAAAATGTAATACTACCCATATTGAATGAAATACATTGTGAAATAATAAGAAATATAGATATCAGTCTCTGCCTCCAGTCCCTAACATAGGGCTCCTGAAACCCTTGTAAATCGGGGTGCTAGGAGAATCTTTCGTTCTCATATTTAGTCTTTGACGCTGGTTCCTGACACAGGGATCCTAAAATGCTTGCAATTTCCTGGGCGGTAGGAACATCTTTTGTTCTAAAGAGGCAGCTCTGGGTGGCATCTTGGATACCTCATGGATGGAGCTGGTCACCAGAAAGACCAAGACATGATTGGAAGCTTGGAACTTTCAGCCCTCCCCCATCCTCCAGAGAGGGATGAGGGGCTGCAAATGGACTTGAGAACTGATCATGCCTATGTGAGGAAGCCTCCATAAAAATCTCAATAGTATGGGGTTCAGGGAGCTTCTCGGTTGGTAAACACGTGCACATACTGGGAGGGTGAAGCACCCCAACTCCACAGGGACAGAGGTGCCTGTGCTCAGGACCCTCCCAGACCTCACCGCATGTATCTCTTCCCCTGGCTGTTCACTTGTATCCTTTATCACATCTGTTAATAAAATGGTAAACATAACTAAGTATTTCCCTGAGTTCTGTGAGCTGTTCTAGCAAATAATCAAACCCAAGGAGAAGGGGGCCGTGGGAAGCTCCAGTCTGTAGCCAGATCAGACAGCAGTTGTGGGTCACCTGGGGACCTACTGCCTGTGACTGGCATGTGAGGTTGGGGGCAGTCTCGTGGGACCGAGCCCTTAACCCATGGGATCTGATGCCATCTCCAGGTAGATAGTGTCAGAATGGAGTTAAGTTGTAGGACACCCGGCTGGTGTCACAGAATTGCTTGGTGTGGGGGGAAAACCCCACACGTCTGGTGTCAGAAGTGTTGTGAGTGTGACAGTAGTGTGGGAGTAAGGAAGGCACACTGACGTTTTTCCAACACACACGTCCAGCTGGAGAGCAGCCAGTCTGCAGCGTTTGTTTTAGACCTTCTGCATGCATTGAAAAGATCCACTATCCAAGGCTATTGAAAAACTTGTCATTAAGAGAAAAGTTATATGACAGCATATACTACCATTTTATTGAGTGTTCTCTCATTTAATCCTATACTTCACGGGACACCGCAAGATGGGTGTCATTACTCTCCCTCTTTTACACATGAAGAAGCTGAGATTCAGATAGTAAACTTGCAAGTGACATAACCAGAATTCCAACCTAGGGTGTTGTTTTATTTATTTATTTTTTACCATAACGTAGTCTAAATTCTTAACCATTATGTTGTATTGTCTTATAGATAAGGAGCTAGCTTAGAACAGAAACCCAACCATAGAGAAAATGGGAAACTTCTCTATGCAAAAAATTGTCAGGTAATACTCTGCAGAATCTCTGAATGGACAGACCTTATTTAGAGCCTCATGAGTTACCTGAAAGATAGAATGCACGCTAATATTTCCATGTCTGAAGTTGGCATTGAATTGCGAGGCCGTATAGAGGGGCATGGAGTAGCATTAAAAACAGTTTCAGAAATCAAATGGATTTGGATTCAAACTCCATTTCCAGCACTTAGTAGCTGTGTGGTCTTGGGGAAATTTTTTATCCTTTTTGAGCCTCGATTACGTCTTCATCTGTAAAATGGGAATAAAAATAATAACTATTAGGGCCGGCCCAGTGATGTAGCAGTTAATTTCACATGCTCCACTTTGGCGGCTGGGGATTCACTGGTTTGGATCCCAGGCGTGGACCTACACACTGCTCATCAAGCCATGCTGCGGTGGTGTCCCACGTACAAAATAGAGGAAGATTGTCACAGCTGTTAGCTCAGCAACAATCTTCCTCAAGCAAAAAGAGGTAGAATGGCAACAGATATTACCCCAGGGCCAATCTTCCTCACACACATACAAAAATACCAACTATTCATAAGGTTGGCGTGGCAATTAACTAAGACACTGCACGTAAAGAGGGTTCAATACACGTTAGCTATTCTTTTTCTGGTAGCGAAGTCCTAAGATGAGGTGGGTGAGGATAGAGGGGAATGAGGCTCCTCAAAGAAGGGTAAGCTCCATAAGGACAGACAATGTTGGGCTGTCCCTGCTCTCTTTTAGTGTCCTGAGCAGTCCCTAGAACACAATAGATGCATAGTAAATAATTGTTTACAGATGTGTACAAATTAAGCAAGATTTCAGGGGCTGAGTGAGTAGGCCTCGATTTGCTAAATGGAAGGGAACGCATCTCAGCAATGATCCGCGCACTAGCCTTAGGTCGTGGGCCCTGAGCCTTCTGTTTTGATTCAAGAAAGAGATCTAGGAGTTCATACAGACAACGTGGGATGCAGCCTACTAGTAGGTGGTCGAAAGGGTGGTCATAGTGCAAAAAACCAATGGAATCTGGATGTTTTCAGGGAGGATTTTGGAAATCAACCAGGAACCTTGTCCTGCCCTTGTGGAATGCCCTTCACTCAGTGTTTCCGTGATTAAGGGGGCTCCATCAGGAACTACCAAAAACATCAAGAGCCCTAGGTGTGGGAAAAGTAAGGCTGAGAAGGAAAACAATGTGAACCTATAAAACCTGGAAGGCTGAACTGAATTTGGACGTGTTCAAAAGGGCACACTGCAGAGCTTAAAAGCATTGAGTGAAGACAAATTGTAGGAAGACTTGTTTGCAAGGAGTTTTAAGCTTATAGTAATTATGTCCAATGTCCTTAAAGTACTTCAGAATTTCCCAAGATCCATCTCATGATTTCATTTGATCTCCAAGGGGCTGGCAGAGCGGAATTTTTCTCTGTTGGATCCCGCTTGAGAGAAGTAAAGTGAAGTTGTGGGTCAAGGCTCCACTTCTGGGAAGTCGCAGGCCAGGGCTGGACCTGATGAAGATGCGTTGTCTCTAAGACGTGCTAGAGGTTGGAAATGGAGGCAAGTTCAATGGAAGTGTTCACATCTTCATGACTTTTATATTGATCATAGTTAAGGGCCTCTGAGACTGTCTGGGGTGTACCCCTAACGTTGGGAAGTGCACAACCTGGAGCCACTTTGGCAGCAGCCAGGCTCAGCCAAGCCACCAGCCCCCGGACTTGGGGCTTCTCTGAGATTTCCCAAGATTGTTACCTGTTCTGTCTACCTCGGAGGGCTGCCCTAAGGGCTAGACGAGATAAACATAGAGAAAGTGCTTTGCAAATGTGATTATTCAAAGTCTTAATATCCATGTGCATACAAAAAATCATATTCCTTTAAAATAGTTTGTTCTAAACTGAGAAGTCTTTTGAGGGCTGACAAAGCAGAAAGGCTCATGTTTTCTTTCCAAACTCTGAATAACCTGTAGGAAAAATGGAATAATGTAGATGCACGTTCAAGTATCTAAAGTTTCCCATGTTTACCAGATTTAAAGTCTGCAAAACTTTGTACCTTTTGTAATGATTCAGATTCAAAAAGCAAAAATGCAAAATGCTTATCATTTCCCTTTCACTGAGGAAACAATATAAATGGCTACCTTTCGGTGACACTTGGCAAACACAACGTGATTAATCTGGGGACCTGCAGGTGTTCACCTTCAGTGACCTCTCACTTATCATCTGCTCCGATAGGAACACATCTGAGACAGCCAACAAGATGAAGCTAGGCAAAGAATTGCATCAAATTAAAATATTTCTTTTAAAATACTCTGAGTTGTAAAGAATATAGATCAAGGGTCTAACAAGAATGTGCAAATTTGACATTTTAAACTGTATTATCAAAACAGTACACTGATATTTAAGAAAACTAAAAAACATAGTGACCCAGTATACCTCTTTATAACAACTGATATGTCATGGTAAGAACATAGATGTGGAGGCAGAAAATGTGGATTTGAGCATTAACTCCATCCTTTATAGGCTTTTGATACTGGCAAGTTTCTTTCTTTGAGTCTTTGCTTCCTTGTAGCAAAAAGGGAGAGCAATAATAACTAGGTGCACTTGTGTTCTGAGGATAAAGTGAAATAATATATATATGCAAGTGCTTTGCAAATCTGAGTTGTTATTGCCTGGTGTTCTTTTTATTTTTAACCATGAAAAAATGTATATATAAAGTTTCTCTTTGTAATTTTTATTCATTGCACATTACACCTGTTTTTACTTTCTCTCTGGTTTCTGACCATCCTCTGTTCCTGTCTTTCCCTTTGGGCATTTTCTTCCTTCTCAAACCGTGGCTCTGCTTCTCTCTGTCAGATGCTCCGTTTGTCAGCTCTTCAGCAAAGTGGCTCCAGACCACCTGATCCGCTTTGTTGACTCTCTTCTTTTGTGCCGCATCTCTCCACTTAGAGACCTCCAGGCTCTCCAGAGTTGAAAGGGAGCTCACTTTTTAGAGATGAGAAAGCGGAGCTCCGGGGCCCTTGGGAAGAAGTTGCTTAGAAGTAACAGAGCTGGAACAAGAGCTCAGGCCTGAGTCTTAGCCCAGGGCTTTCTCCACCTGGCTGCCAGCTAAGGACCCTTCTCTTTGGGCTTTGGATTCAAAGCACTTATCCTAATACTCTCTACACTTGCTCAAAGCACTACTTGCTCAACCAAACTTAGAAATTACAATCATGTCATAATGGCTGCTATTTACTGTTGGGAGCTCCGTACACGGTCCTGTGCCAAATGTTTTATACAAAGGGTTTCACTGAATGGACCTAAAAACTCTATCTGAGAGGAACCATTATTGCCATTTTATGGATGAAGAAACTGCGGGTCTGAGATGGTAACTTGCCCAAGGACACGGAGGGAGTAGCTGGAAGAGCTGTGACGCCGTAACTGTCTGATCTCGAAGGCCTTCTACAAAGCAGTCAACACTCAGCGCTCTGAATGTTCCTCTCAGGCCTATCTAGCTCCACCCGATGGCCTCAGAGTGCCAGGCTATCTGACTGCCTGTCTTTCTAGCACCTTCTGGAATCTCACCTCCTCCTCCAGAAAGCCTTCTCTGATGGATCAGAGGAGAGTAAAGACGTTCCTGTCTGAGCGTGGGAGTCTCGTGGTCACAGAAGTAAGCTTCTCATTCATCCTCACTTACTCTGTGAATATTTGACTCCAGCTGTGTGGGAGTTCTCCTGTTTGCCTCTGCTGGTCATAAGCCCCACCTGTCTGTCAGCATCGCTGGTCTGTCTGCAACGACTTAGGTTCTGTGGAAAAATTAGCAGCCCAATGAGCAGTTTCAGTGAACAATTGGTTGGTTTCATCTGAAGAAGCAGCCTGTGTAAATATAGCTGTGGGGGCCCTGTCTCCACACACTTCAGCAGAGCTGTAGTGCCCGTGGGCCTTGTTTTGGAAGAAATCCACGGAGGTGAGGGGACTTGAAATCGCCTCACATTGGGAGCCGGTGAAGGAACTGGGGCTGTTCAGGTGGAAAAGTGCAGACTCAGAGGGTCACCGAACTGTTGCTCTCGAGCGTGAGAAGGGCTGTCACGCAGAAGTGGGGTTCGACTCTGTGTCCCCAAGGAGGGAAGTAGGAGCTGCGGCCAATAGGTGTGGGCGAATCAGGAGGAGGAGCAGCTGTGTCCAATCCTTCTTTGGAAACAAGTGGCACCTAAACAGTCAGAACTGTCCCCAGATGGTGGTATTTTCCACTCCCTGGAGCCATCTGGGCACAGCTGGGCAGGGGAGTCGCAGAGAGTTCACCCGAGAGGACTTGTCTGCTCTGGCCTGGGAGGTCCTGGAGGGCAGGGCCAGCCTTCCTCACTGCCCACTGCCCACTGTTCAAGGCAGTGGGGCCGGCGTGTGCTGAGGGCACCAGGGTTCTGCCAGAGGCTTCTAACCTAGTCTCTCCCATCCACTCAGGGATTTGATGACGCAGTGAGAACAATGACGATTATGGGCAGAAGCACAGGGCTTTGTTCCTCTCTGCCCTCTGCTGGTCCTGAATGAGACACAAACGGACAGCAAGCTCCATGACTAAGGGAAACCCTGGTCCTGGGTTTAGGGTTCTGGGCTCTCTGAGGTGCAGGCCTGCTGTGGGGTCATCAGGTGGCCCTTTGGCCAACCTTAGATTTCCTGCCCACAGTCATTTTCTGGTTTCCCTCCTGGACATGTCTGTTCTTCCTCCCTCCTCTGCCCCCATCATCCAGCCAAGGGGCCCAATATCTGCTGGAAATAGTGATCTCAGAGTTGCCCCATCAGCAGAGTACCCTGTAAGTCTTCCTTAGGGTTGGCTGAGAAGCCAGCTGGGGACCAGGGGCTCCATTTAGGACCATGGGCTGTTTTCTCTTGGCTTGAAAAAAAAAATACCTCCCCCTACCTAGCCTCCCCTTACAATATCCAGGAGCACCCTTGACAGAGCGCCTGGTGTGGGTCCGGGGCAGGGGCCCTGCTGATCTGGGCTCAGAGAGAAGCACTGGGCTTGCCGGGAAGGGAAGGGTGGACAGGCTCTGGGGAGGGGAAGGTGTCTTGGCCCAAGGAGTCTTTCCTGGTGACTACTCCCTTGAGGGTGGGCTCGGTGCCTCCTCTCTGCCCTGCCTAGCCTCTAAGAATGTGGTCTGTGTCCTTGCCCCGTCAGGCCTGGAGGGAAGCCCATCTGTTGTGCTCTGAGTGATGGAGAAGCTCAGAAGTGGGGAGCCAAGGAAGCAAGGGTCCTCAGGAGTTCCACGGAGGGCGCTGAGGAGGGAATTCAGGAGTAGGCTGGTGGCGGAGGGCTCAGGAAAGAGGAGCCCGATAACAAGGTGGAATGGAATGGCCAAGAGCTCTGTTCCCTGTCTGTAGCCCCGTGAAGGAGCTCCTGAGGCACTGGGAAGTGGCAGCTGGAGCAGCCGTGAAAGCAGAGAGTTGGGAGTTTAGTCTCAAAATAGCAGTGAGACTTCTGTCACTCCTCAGTCTCTTCATCTGGCTCCTTGAGGCATGTGCTGGTTTACACGGCTGACACATTTTTTACGTAAAACTCCCTCCACCCCAGATGGAAGGGACTGGGAGGTGGGAAATGCCCAGGGTGTGAATGAGCCTGGTGGCCCGGGGTTCCCACGTGGTGGGAGGTAAAAGGAAGGGAAAATGAACACCTGGGTCGAGGGTGCCGCTGCTGCTGGCCTGTGGGTGGAAGTAGTCGTGGGCCAGGTAGCCGGAGTGGGGAGGGCAGGGAATGAGGCAAAGGAACGGGGTAGTCAGAGGGAGGTGGGCATGGTGCAAACAGCTGTTTCCTTCCTTCCAAGAAGACAGAAAAGGGCAGAGCCAGGCTGGGTCAGCTGTGAAGGTCAAGGGCAGGGGCAGGCCTCCAAAGCCAGTCTGCTGGGGGAAGTGTCCAGGTCTTGCACCAGCCTGACACCTCCCCCTCTGGAGATAAGAAAACTACCAGCAAAAGAATTTCATGCCTCACTGTCTCCCCACCTCGCAGCCTGAACAGGTATGCTGTGTTCTCCCAGGGCAGGCTCCCTGCCTTTCTGTTCTTTGCCACCTTCACCCCCAGCAGCTGCTGTGGGGCTTGGTGCTGAGCAGTCAACGCTTATTGAACTGAACCAATCAATGGCAGAGATTCCGCATGGATCAGGTAGCCGTGTCAGCAAGGACTCTGGGACAGGCCAACTTGTGTCTCTGATGGAAACTGAGGAACAGAGCAAGACATAAACCTGACATTTCTTCAGAGCCCACCCAGTGCCAGACACATTCTCTGGTTTGTTGTGTTATCACATTTTCCACATGGTGACTCTGAAGAACTCCAGGTTCACGTAGTGGCCTTTATCTTAGAGTCAGGGTTTTCATCCCCCACAACCGGTGGAGAACCCAAGCCTGAGCTCGTTCCAGAGGTCAGTGGAACCTTCAGGGAACAAGGTGGATGGTGATCCTGGGAGGCCGGTGGCCTGCTGGAGGATGGAGTGGGATCCTCAGGTCTGCTATGAATGCCAAGGCTCAGCAATAGCGTCGCAGCTCCCCCGTGGCCAGAGTGGGGTCTGGACGCTGCCCTAGGAGGGGAGGATGAGAAGGAGCAGAGGACACAATTCAGCGTCTTCTCAAGACTGAATAACCACATGGGAGGCTCCCGCTGCTGGCGCAGGCTGGTCGAGGGAGCAGGAAGGGGCTGTGGCCTGTGACTGAGTTCTCTCTTGGGGAGCCAGGAATGTGACACCAGAAAATAACCCAAGATTGGAGAACCCCTGGGACACTGCCTGGGCCCTCCAGAAGTTCCCTCCTCCATCTTCTGCCTCTGGATCAGATTTCTCTCAAGACACTCCAAACTGGAGGCAACAATTTCCATTCTGCCTTAGAAGTTTGCATTTTCTTGCATGGAAATGGGGAGAATAGTAGTCACTCCCTTTAAGTCTTTGCTCAAATGTTACCTGATTGAGGCCTTCCCTGAGTGCCCTGTTTCATGTGGTAATGCTGCCTCCCCAGTCCTCCAGATCCCCTGCCCAGCTTTGTTTTTCTCTAACACTTCTCACATTCTGACATGCTATATTATCTCTCTCTATCATCTATTTATGTATCATCTATCTATCCATCATTATCTATCATTGATGTATTTATCTATCATCATCATCATCTGTATAACATCTATCTCTCATTGTCTATCATCATCTATCTATCTGTTTATTTATTTATTTTTATCTGCCCCACCCCCACCCCAAATGCTAGTGCCACAGAGCAGGGGTCTTTGCCTATTTTGTTCATTGTGTCCCCAGCACCTAGAACAGTGCCAGGCACATAAGAAGCACTCAGTAAATATTTGTTGGATGAATGAGTGATGGATGGAGGAATAGGATTGTTGTAAGGATTAAATGCATCCCTGTATGTAAAGCACTCCGTGGGACACCCAGCATCTTGTTATTACCGCCGCTGTTGTCTGTGCGATGTGACTTGCACAGATTCCTCTCTGGCTCTGTTTCTTCATCTGTAAAATGAGGAAATTGAGTCACTAGATGATGTCTGAGCTTCCATCAATTTCCAAAAATTCTGCGGTTCTATGATCTCCATGCCCCTAAATGCTGAGTCAGGCGGGTTCTGCCCCAAGCTCACCTCTTGCAGTTCTCGGCAGCAGCTCTGCTGGGTGTGGAGGTGCCGAGCACCCGAGCACCCGTTTCTTGGCAGCTCTTCCTCCGTTTCTCCTGACGCTGAGGCTCACAATGGGGCATAGGTCTGTGACCATGAGTCAGCCTAATATTTCTTGGAACGGTTTCCATTCAGTGAGTTATGTTTTATTTTAATTAGCTTTGATGTGTTGTTTTGTAACACTTTATTGTTTTCAATAGAGGGAATTCATTATGTGCATAATTAAAGGTCGTTTGATTTTAATTTCTTTGTTAAGAGTTTTTGTAGAAAGAAGCAAAGTTCAGGGGAAAAGAAAATTGCCAGACCATGTGCCCTGATTTGAGAGTTAGACACGTGGTCCTCGGAGAGGAAGGGTCACACTGTCCTGCCCTGGGTGGGCTCTGGCCCCCGGCCTTGATGGCCCCCATGGGGACAGAGCCATACCTCAGGGGGCTCAGGAGGACCTCTTTTACTGGTGCAGGTTGGCAGGGCTAAGACTGTCCTCATGGGCCCTGGGCCCTTTCTCTCAGAGTCCCCCTCTGAAATGGGGAGTCTGGAATCCCTGTACCCCCACAGCTGCCTCTGTCGGGGCAGTTTCAGGAGCACAGGTAGCTTTACACTCGCGGTATCTGGTATTCGCTGAGTAACTGGGGTGGCCTCGAAGGAGGAGCGAGAGACAGGTCTGGCTAGTTCTGCCGTGTTGTTTGTGCTTCCAATGACCTCACACATCCCAACCGGCTTCCCCGCCCCAACTGGTGGGGGCTGGCCGTCAGCCCTCCAGCCCCCTTTTCTCTACACGTCCCGGAAGCCAGGGGCCAACATGGATCTTCCTGCCGACATCAGCTGAGCCTGGAAGCCTCACCCCTTGGGAGACCATGGAAAGGGTCAGCCGCCAGGTGAGTGTCCACGGACCTTGGGCCGGTGCTGAGGAATCAGTGACAGGGCTGGGAAGATAGGTGGGGCCCCGGCACCTGTGCGCCTCAGGTTCTAGGGGAAATTGAATGTAACTTTTCTATTTTGAAGCTACTTGGGGTTCAGATTGCTTGTCCTCCTTTTATCATGGTTCCGAGGACCGGCCCCTGGAAGGAGAAGCTGATGGGATTGGGGGTCTGGTCAGGAAGCACCCCAGGGCTGTGGCTGAATCCTGGGCTCCTGCTCTGAGCACCCCGGCCGGGACACGCAGGCTGTTAGATCATCACCTTCGCTGGGTTGAGAAATGTGGAGACTTAGCGTTCTAACTGGGCTTCACAGGTGTCTTGCCTAAACTAACCCCTCACTAGACTCGTAAACCAGCCTAGGAAATGTGACTGTCCATGTGCGTTTAAGATCTTCAAGAGGAATTTTCAACCTCCCTTGGCCACTTAACATCAGGCTTGAATAATCTTCATGCTTGGAAACTGATTCCTTATGTCTAACCATAATTCCTTGGTTCCTTGCCTCTTCTTCTGCTCTTGGTGGTGGTAGAGAGCAGCTAGAACGTTGTCTGTGAAAAAACCAATTATATATATGTCAAGGCTTCCAAAGATTTTGTTCAGCTGTGCCTCAGCTTTCTTTTCTTGAGGGACATTCCTCCTGTGTTCTAACTTCTCCTTAGGTCTGCTTTTCTGCTCCTCTCCACTCTCTTTTGTTCTTTACTGATATGGTAGAATCTGGGGCTTTGGGAAGGATGGGGCAGTGCTGGGTTTTGGAGGATCAGCTCAGCCTATGTTCTGGCTTATAGTTGGCTTGTGGTCCATTCTGAACCCCAGATATGTTTCTGCAAACTTTACCATCATCTCTCTCGTCATTCTTCTGGCCACCTCTTGACTTTTCTTTCCCATGCTTCCCCCCGCTCTCTGCTCATGTCTCCACTTCACTAAGGTCATTTGGCCCTAGGACTCTGGGCTCATTGGAGCCTCTGGTGAGCAGTAAGGGTGACGTATGGGGCAGAAGGGAGTTTTGGCCAGGGCATGGGGAAGGTGAACCCACAGTCACAGCAATGTGGCATGTTCCTTGGTAACTTGTTGAGCCTAAACTTGATGGTCCCTAAACACAAAAGGTGAAAAGGGTTGAGTTATCCGAAGGCTGGTAGGGCCAGTCCCTGGGGCAGAGAGACAGAAGTGATGTCTGCCCAGGTAGCTCATCTCTCAGAGTCAGGGACCAACATGGGAGGTCACCGGAGGAGGGCGCACAGGGTGAGAGCAGGCTTTTCATTATTGATGGAAAAAGTGGCAGACGGTGTGGTAGGTGCCATGCTCAGCCTGGGAGACTCTCCCAACTTCTCTTGGAATAAAAGAATTGAACCATTACTTCTTTATTTAAGATTCTTAAGTTTGTTTAAGGTAGAACCTTCTGACAGTGAGCCCAGGGTGGGCAAGGAGAGCTGCCCGGGGCTCTTCATCTTAATCTGTAGCCGATTTCTTAAGATTGATGAAATCGAATAGGAGCCCACTGCGAAAAACCGGTCCCCTACGGCGTGCCTTCTCCCTGAGGGCTTCCTACAGAGAGATGCACCGCGGTTTTTGTCCTTCAGCTCCACACAGTAGTGAAGAAAAGGGAGGCCAATGGGCTTCAGCCTGAGGAAGCTCTTGTGTGAGCTGGTTGGGTCTTCAGGGAGATCTTGGAAAGGGGGTGGGGAAAGCTCTCAGCTGCTCTGTGTTCAGAAGAGAAGCTGCATTATATGGTGGACGGGACATTAACCAAGTTCCAGGTCAGCTGTGACTTTGGGCAAATCACTTAACCTTTTTGTACCTTAGTTTCTTTATTTGAAAAATGGAATAAAAATAGTATCTACTTAAAGGAGAGTTAGAATAGTATCTCTCACATGGTAAGGCTCTTTTGGAATAACATCTGGCACGGATAGGTAGATATAGATATAGAGGTAGAGATAAATTCATAGAGTGTTAAGATTTGTGGTCAGCATCATCATCATCATCATCATCATCATCATCATCTATGGTCTAGTCCTGGCTCCTCTAAAGATTTGGACAAATACCTTCTGCTCTCTGTGTCTCAGTTTCCCCACCTACAAGAGAAGAGGTTTGGACGAATTGCCCCCTGAGGCCCCTTTCCGGTTCTATGACAGTCTCTGGAATTATACAGATTAGGATTATAGGTGCGTCACACTGGACACACGCATTCATTCTTGAAAAATAGTGCGTATTTTGTGTTTTTCCAAAAGGTACTACATTCTTAATGCTTAAACAAGTGCAGCATATATTAAAGCAAGTCTGAAGTAAACCCACTGATAAAGCAACAATCCTTTATAGAGTGAAATTTCTTATACCGGGTCTCCTTAGAGTGGAGCAGGTTCTCAATCAGCCCGAGATCACAGATGCTGCGGACTTGAGTAAGGCTAGAGGTCCCAGGGCTGGTTAGGATGAGCACCCTCCCCAGAGAGGGCTGGGCAGGTTCCCAAGACGGCAGACCAGTAGGCTCAGGTCATTCTGCTATCCCCTAGACCCCAAAGTGCAGGCACCCCCAGGACCCCTGGCACCTGCCCTGTGCCCTGCAGGCATACAGCCCTCACCTGAGAACTCTGTTTCATGTTGTCATTGGTGCTGAGCAGCCTTCCACCTGGCCCTTCCCGCTCTGCCTCCCCCGGCATTGGCCTGTGACTTGGCAAACATGAGCGTGAATGTGTGGGAGTGAGTGTACGGGGCTCAAGGCCGGGGTGCTGGGTGGCAAGGCCCATTGATGTAACAATAGCCACTTAGCTTAAGTGTCTTGTCTGGGCAAAACAGCTTCCTCTCGGTACAGCAACAACAGGGGTGGACTGTGCCCAGCCAGGCTGGCAGTGCTGGGTGGGGGGCACGAGGGAAGCCCGCACAGAGAGCCCAGGGCTTTGTCAGCCAAGCGCAGGCCTTAGCAGCACCAGGTGGAGTCTGGATGCTCTGATGGGGAAGCAATACCCAGACCTGTCCAGGGAGCCCTCACTATGTACCAGTCCTGAGCTGTGTCACATTCCAGTATTGGCAGGGGCAGGACATAGGGAGAAACTGAGGCAGCAAGTTCCTGGACAATCAAATGTTATTTGCTTGGCAATAGCAGGCACTCAGTGTTCTTTGAACTATTTGATGAATGAATAAACAAATGAATGAATGAATGAATGAACCAGCGGGTGTTTTGACTGTGGTCTGACGGGATGCCTGAGGCTTTTTCATGAGTATAGGAGGCATCGTAAACTAGAAGGAACTTTAGAGCTCACCCAGGCCAGCAATTGTCGAGTTCTTCGCAGCAGCAGCCTCTTTTGTTCAAATGAAATCTTATGTAGAGCCCACTGTATGCAACCAAAAAGTGAAATCTTCTCTGTATGGAGTGGGATAAAGGACTCAGAGCCTTTACCTACTGAACTGGTCCCCAGGGCGTCTCCATGGAAACTCCAAGGCTCTGTGGAACTCTCTTTGGAAACAGCTGATTGTCCAACCCTTTCATTTTATAGATTAAGGAGCTGAGGGCCAGAGAAGGATGAGACTATCCCTAAGGTCTCACAACTGGCTGGGAGGAGAAGCCAGACTCCCTCGTGCCTCCCATGCCCAGGGCGAGGGAGGCCTCCCGGCTCTGGCTTCTTATTCTGGAGCGCAGTCTGATTCTGGGCTGATGGGGCCCCTGAGGTTAACACTGCATGCTGCTGGGGATCTGCCTGTGTTCTGAGGGGAGCCTGTATTTGTGGGGTTTCTCTGGGTTCAGGGAGGAGAGGTGGGAGGGACCCCCGCGTACCTGGAGGTACAATGATGCCTGGGCTGAGCAGTGAGGATGGGAAAGAAGCCATGATCCACTCCAACCCAGTCCAGATAAGTTCCACGGAGACCAGTTCAGTCCAGTCCAGTCCAATCCACACTGGAAGGGGTTCAGGCCTCCCCTGTCATGGCCCAGGGGCACCCCAGGCTCCCCACAGGGACAGGGGCTTTTTAGGTCCTGTTAAAGGGAGCTACTGATCTCTCTTGGTACCCCCCAGTGCTTCCAGTGGGCTTGGGGGTCCCCTCTTCCTACCTAACCCAGAGTGCTGGAGTGCTGGCCCGGGGACCTGCCTGCGCCCACCCTTTGAACATCCTCAATACTCAGGGTCACTGGGAGAGAGAAGCTGCCCCAGGGGCCTAAATCTGATGAGGGTCCTTTCTCATTGAAGCTTGGCAAGGGGCAGGCAGTGGAAGAGCACAGTGATGGGCAGCAGCCCAAGGACAGGAGCCAGAAGATCAGGGTTCCCGTCCTGGTACTGCCCCAGGTGGCTGTGTGATCTTAGACAAGTCATATTGCCTTTCTGGGCCTTAATCACCTCCTCAGTAGGATAAGGTTTGGACTAGAGGGTTTTCAAGATCCTTCTGTCTTTGACAGCCTGTGATATGCCCAGCCTGCCCTGGCCTACGGGCGTTATGAAGGGCCAGCCCATGGCTGGGGAGGGAGGCCCAGTCAGCTAGGGCTGGACTTGAAGGGGCCTTGATGGACCTGCCTTTGGGCCATGAAGATGTGTTGAAGTCGCTGCTGCTGCAAGTGGACATCCTTTAGGTCTAGCACGAGACCTTTTTTAGGGTACTTCTCTCTGCCTGCTGGGGACTCTGAGCAACCCACAGTGCATCTGGCCCAGAGCTCAGGCTGCCACCTGTGGTTGGAGAATAGTCTTTCTGCAAAGCCCGGGGCTCAATCCCATGGCAGCAGCCACATAACCATCGCTGTGAAGCAATCCATGAGGAGGCTGTGACATCTCTCAGCACAGCAGTGGCTCCCTCTCTTCCCTGACATCACTGGCTGGGCCTGCAGGATACCCAGAAAGGCCAAGGACAGGACACCCTTGGGGGCTTATTAACTTACTCCCAACCCCCACCAGGTAAGGGCCCACGGGGCAGAGTCTGCGCAGGAAACCATAAAAATGTCCCATTCACCCTGGGATGGGGACTCTACCCCTGGAAGCTACGTATAGAGATCAGCAGACTAGGTGCACGGGGCCTTGGGTTTTCATCCCTATTCTGCTATAAGACATACCTGAGCAACTTTGGGCAAAGTGCACGTGTGTTTTGGGCCTCTACTTCCTTGTCTGTCAAGTGAGAATAATAATCCTTGTTGACTCCTGTCCAGGAAAGTGCTTGGAAAAAGCCACAGAGCCAGGGACTGCTCTTTTCCGCCTGCTCCCGGGCCCCTCCCTCGCTGCCTTCCTGGGGACCCCTGACCCACCTGCCTGCCAGTCATGCTGCCTCCTGCCCCCAGACATCTTGAGGAGGCTGGATAAGTTTGAGTAGGGACCCCTGGGAGCTGCAGAGGCACAGGCAAGTGGCAGTAGCAACAGCTTTGGGTCTATGCCTGGTCCTTGACACAGTGAGGTCTCACCACTGCACTATCCCGGGGAAAACCCCAGAGACCACCCAGGGTCGGGAGAAGGAGAGGCAGGTCCAGGAAACAATGACTGGCAACACTAGGCCAGGGAAATGGCCCCAAATCACCCATACTCTGGCTCTGCCCTGTCCGCCTGCCTGGGGAAGGCTGGGACCTCTGTCTGCAGGCAGGCTATGGGGAGCCTGGGGCCCTGGCCCACGAGTGGATCATCTGAGTTCCATTCCTGGGTCTTCTGCTCACTGGCGAAGGCTAGGAGCTGAGCTGGTTCTGGTCTGGGCTCTACCCCTTGTGTCTGGGCACCTTGGGAACGAAGTCTTCTCCCCTCGCTCTTCCTCACCTGCTCAAGGCATCTGCTCTGAGGGTCAGGTCAGCCCTCTGGGAGGGAGGCTATAATCTCAGCAGCTGCTCTCCAAGAATTGAGGAAAGGAAATGAGTTCCTACTGTAGTAGGTTAGACATCAGGAAGAACTTCCAGCAGGCTAGGGTGGCAGGCAGTGAAATGGCAAAGGAGGTACACGAAGATAGTGTGAAATCTCCTATTCCATGGTCCCTGAAAGTGAGAACTCTCCCTAGCACCCAGTGGCCTTGGTTTCAGTTGAGGTTCAGAGTCAGGGGGATGGAGCAGGTGGGCTCACTCTGCAGGCTGCTTTCCTCTGGTCTTGGGGCTACCCTTCCATCCTGTTGTCCCTGCTGGGGTTGGCAGTTCCCCACACGGGCAGTTCTCATTCAGGACTGGGGTCCCAGGACTCCCCTCTTGCTGTAGTCTGCAGCACCAGAAACTCTCCTTCTGCCTCCCACCAACTCTGACGCCAAAGCGCTTGCTCTGCTGAAGCCAGGGCCCCCAGGGCCTCTGGCTCTTTCTTGGATATTGCCCTTTCTACCCTGACTCCCAGTTTCTCCTTCATCTCCACACCCCACAGATCCCAACCCCAGAAGACTTTATATGGGCTACTGAGGCTCGGAGTCAACAGTTCTAAAGAGTCTGGCTGGCAACTACTCATCCCTCCTTCCGGCTCCTTGGGTACTGAGCCCGAGATCAATCCCATTTTACACGTCCTACCTCCCTCCAGACTCAAAGAAGAGGGACCCAGGTGGGTGTCCTGCCTGGACCCCAGGGCTCACCTCCCCAGGGCCTAGACCTCCCTGCTTCCTGTGGGCCAAGGCCATAGTGGGCATTTGGGACCCACCTGTGGATGGAGTAAGCAGCAGGGAAAAGGATGAGCAAGACTCAGGAGGCCTCCTCTCTACCTTTCTCACTGTCCCTGGCTTCCCACTGTGCCTGCCCACCACCAGTTCCCTCTCTGGTCTAACTCCCTCCTGCTGCTCCAGCCCTCCCCTTGTCTTCCCACCCATCTTCCTCTGGGCCTCTGCCTGGTGTGGGCCTCTCAGCCCTCTGTCCTTCAGCCCCAGCCCCTTTGTTCCTGCCTATCATGACGGGGTAGCAGGACCAGGGTCACGGGGTCCCGCTCAGGTGGAGACAGCCTGAGCTCTTGGCCGGGAATCAGAAGATTGTGACAAAGTCCCTACAAGACCAACAATTAGTTTAGGGGCTTCGGGCATGCTCTTTAGTGCCTATGAACCCCGGTTTCCTCGTGTGTAAACTGAGGATCATAATTCCTGTCGGGCTTGCTAACTAGCAGCCTTGTGAGAATCAAATGAAATAATGGGTGTGAAAGCTCTGCAAATCGTAAGCCCCAAAGAAATGCAGGAAGTGACAGTGGGCATTCAGATACTGCAGTCAAGACTCGACCTCTTAGCAGGCCTGGTTAGGGTCCAAGCCCTGTCCCTCACCTTAGATGTGAATCTGGGCAGGTTCTTAGCCACCCTGGCCCTCAGTTTCAAAATCTATAAAATGGGGCTAACAACACCAACCGCAAAGAGCAATTATGAGATTGAAATGGGATCAGTAAAATGCCTAGCGGACTGTTATCTCTATTCTTGTGACGCAGGCTCTTCCATATTTATTCCAGGTTTGTCTGGGGAAGGAGGCAAGATTAGTCTCATTTTACACGTGTGGAGACGCACTTGCCCAAGGTAACCCAGTTAGGAACGGATGCAGTCATACTGGAACATGGAGTTTTCTATTTCAAGCTCAGCGTCTGTAACAAACAAATAAACAAACACCCACCATCACAGCCAAGGTCACTGAGTCCTTGCCTTACCTATGTCATCTATCACTACATTGCTATGAACCAGGGGGGTGGACTCACCTTACAGATAAGGAAGCTGAGGTGTGGAGAGCTTGAGTCACCGGCCCAGTCACCAGCTGGCTTAGAGAGTACTGGATGACTGTGACAGGGCTGCTCCCATCCACCAGGCTCCACCTGGTCCTGGCAGGCCACAGGCCCGACCGTGGTTCCCACTAGAAAGTTCCATAAGACTGAGATCCCTGCGGGAACCCCCAGCCCCACCCCCGCACTCCCCCTGGAGCTCCCAGCCCTGCAAGGCCCCAGGGCCCAGTTCTCAGGCCCTGTCACAACTGCCCGATGAGCGCCATGTGCAAGGTTCCAGGGAGAGGACCGCGCCGGGACGTTCTTGCTGCTGCCGCCAGAAGGCAGGGGACTCGGCAGCACGCAGACTCGGGGTGGAATCCTGACTATGTGGTTTTGGGCAGTCTGAGCTCTGAGCCCGAACTGCCTCACCTGTAAAGTGGGTTTCCGAAAATGCCAACCTCTCAGGGATGGAGGAGGACCTCGTGAGGCCATAGACGTGGACGTTTATTAGAAACTCTAAAGTACCATACATTGTGTGTTATTATCATTTCATTGTATTGAGTTATGGGAATTCCCCCCGAGGCTGGGGACGACTTAGCTGTGAGCATAAGAGAGGGAGGCCTGACATGCCAGTGGAGGTGCCACATGCCAGGGTCCCCAGCAGGTGCCAGGCTGGAGCCACCACTGGTGGGAAGCACAGGGCCCTACAACGGCCAGGACTCGCCCCTCTCACTGAAGGACCTCAGTCTGGCCTTTGTCCAGCACCTTCTTTTCTCCCTAAGATGAGCTTGCACCGCCTTTCAGCCCTTTGGTCACGCCCCCAGCTGTTAAATCTCAGTATGTTGGCGCTGTGTGCGCCAATGCCAAGGGGACATGAATGACCATTTCCTGCAGCTGCTGTGTGCCAGGCATGGGCCAGAGCTTTCCTATTGTATCTCACTGAGTCCTCAGGATTATTGGTCCTACATTACAGATTAAGAGAAAGGCAAGTTAAGCGGCTTGCCTAAGGTCCCACTGCGAGACCTAGGATTGGAACCCAGGTCTGCCTGAGTCCAAAGCCAGCGAGGCCAATTGATGCATTCTATATTTCAATGTGTCCTCTCCACCTCTCCTTGCACCATCCTCGGTCCTGGTCCCCTTGAAGCTTCTAGGGGCTAGCCTGTCTTCGTTTTCTGGAAATCTAGTCTCTAGACAATGGGAGTGAGAAGGAAATCTGAGCTCTGGTCGAGCTGGGTCAGTGGCAGTAGCTGCCCTTCAGGTCCCCAAACACACACAAGTGTGTCCCTGCTCAGCCGGCTGGGGCGTTGGGACTTGTGTGTGTTTATCCACATCCACTAACCCAGTGCGTTCAGGGACTCGAGATTCCTCCTGGAATTCATCCCACAGCCCCCAGAAGAACGAGGAGGGGACCAAATCAATTGCCTCTGACTCTTAGAAGAAGGAGTTAAAAAATAAATAAAAACAGAACAAAACCCAAAAAGCCCTGCCTGGTAGGGATGATGGTGCTGGCTTGGACCGGCTGTTCTAATGAGGAGGACTTTTATTGACTCGTCTGCTTAGTAATAATGTCAAACCCTTTTAAGCCCAGTGGAAGGTGAGAGATGGCAACAGAGGCGCCAGTGGTCCAGAGCCTGTCGCCTCCTGGAGCACAGGCCTGCTTCCCACTCCATTCCTGCTGCCTCCCAGGAGACCCGCCTCCCGAGCAGCCAGTCAGTGCTCAGCAGAGGTTGTAATGAGGGTCGGTCAATGTGGCCCCTGGGCCAGGTCAGTTCCCAGCTCCCCCGCTGCGCTGGAACTTCAAGAGGGGGCTTGAGAGGCAGAGATGATATGAGGGAGGTCAGGGAGACCTCTGCAAGAGGCCAGAGGGAGGTGAGAGGGTGCCTAATCTGGTGACAGGGACTGGGGTCCTGCAGACCAGGGCCTGGCAGCCTGCAGAGGCTGCTCAAGGCTCCCTCTCCCCGATTTAGAGTCCCCAAAGGCTGGGGCTCCTCAGGAAGCAGTGGCACTGGCACTCGTTGATCGCCTGCTATGGCCGGCTGCTGCACCATGTTACCCATCGCCCCTGAGACCGGGCAAAGCATGGGGGTTGAGTGCGGCCTCCGGAGCCCGACTTTCTGGCACACACCCTGGCTCTCTACTGTCTAGCTACGAGAGCTTGAGCAAGTGACTTAATCTTTCTGCCTCTGTTTCCCCCTGTGCAAAATGGGGACAATAAGAGCTCCTACCTCACAGGCTTGTTCTGAGGGTTGAGTAAACATATATAAAGCACTTAAAGCACAGGAAGTCCTCTGTGACTCCACCTTAAACTACCAAATCTGGATTAATAAACCGCTCCACCTGCAGCTGAGCGGGGTTAATGTCCTAGAGTGGACTCATACCCCAGCCCACACCTTCTCCTCCTCCTGCATCTTGCATCTCCAGTTTCCTTGACCTGCTGGTGCGTGTGCATGTGCGTGTTCGTGCGTGTGTGTGTGTGTGTGTGAGAATTCTGGCGTTACTGAGAATGTTGGGGAACAAGGCAGGTCAGGGCTTTTCTTAAGCAGTGCTTTTCACACTTCTGATGACAGCTCATCATAGGACCGATGTTTCACAATCTAACACACACACACACACACGAAAGAAAAGGGCGGGATATAGAAGGAGTGGGAGTGAAGAGGGCAGAAAGGGTGGTCACCTCCCCCACAGGGGACCACATCTCCTTGAGTGACCCTCAGAGGAAGGGTCCAGTCCAGCAGCCTCTTCTTTGAGGGGCCCTAGACACATGTAGCTGAAGCTGGTACCCCCCTAGCCCCGGGCAGATGGCCCACTGGCCTCTACCTACCTCTGTAGGTCCCTGTGATGGGGACAGGCTGTAAGGAGCTGGGAACAGTAGGCTGTCTGAATTTCATTCCATCCTTGAACTCTCTTCTCAGATGCTCCCTTGTCTGGGGCTCTGCTAACGCCTAGCCACTTGCCCTAGAGAGTTCACCTCCTAGCCCAGCAGGCCTGACAGCTGAGTGGGCCGGCAGGGGAGCAGCCTGAGGGACACCCTTTACTTTGCTTTCAGAATGCTTCCCCGGCAAGGACGTCTCCAGCCCAGGCGTCTCCAGCCCGGGGGTCCCCAGCCCATGCGTCCCCGGCCCGGGCATCACCTTCCAGGTCATCATCTGGCAGGTCATCATCTGCCGGGTCGCCCTCCACAACATCCTCTCCGACAAGAGCATGCCTTGTTAAAGCAACACCAGTGGGGGCTGTACCTGTCCGGGCATCTCCTGCCAGGTCAGCACCAGCCGCCAGGGCCACTGGGGAGAACCCAGGTAAGAGGGATGCTGCTGGGAAGGCAAGAGGAGCAGGGGAGCAGTTCCTGGTGGGGAGGAAATCTCAGAGTTGGGACTCTCTGCTCCTCCTCTACCCCTTGGATAATGATGTGTGCGAAGGAGGTGGAATGGTCAGGGGTAGGCAGTGGGGGACCCGGGAGGTGGGAGCAGAGAGGAACTATTACATGCAAACCGAAGACAGTGGAAAATTGGGGCAAATGGGGTAGGAGATAAGAAACTGGACCACCAGGGCAGGTGTGACTTTGGAAGCTGCACGGTCTGGGTCAGCGTGCAGATGTCGAGAACAAGGGCTCCCAGTTAGAGACCGGGGTCTTTGCCTTGGGCTGCCCTGCGGGTCTACCGGGGAAGCTGGCGGGTGGAGGAGGAAAGGAAGAGATTCTGACTATGCAGGCGCTCCCCACCCCCAGCTTTCCCAACTGGCTTCTATGATTCAGCTACTAGGAAGTCAGAGATGCCAAATGGGCCTCGGGGACTGGTTCTGCCCTTAAGGAAAGAGGATTTTGGCCCATCCCAACTCTGCCCTCCTTCTGTCCCAGAGTTCAGACTATCCCCACCACCATAATACAAACAGGCCCGGAGGTGCATCCCAGATTTGGGGCCCATTCCACCTTGCCCTCTCAAGAGTTGGTGAGGCACTTGGATGGGGCGGCCTTCGAAAGCAGACACACTTGGTTTGAATCCCTGCTCTCCCACTCACTGGCCAAGTAACCTTGAGCAAGTTACTTAACTTCCACAAACCTCAGTTTCCTCATCTATAAGATGGGTGTAAGAATACCCAGCTCACATGGTTACTGGGAGAATGGAATAACATGCAGGTGCCTGGCTGGCCCATGGTAGATGCCCCACAAAAGGGAGCTGTTGGCATCAGGCCGGGGGTGGGGTGCCATCGTCTGGGGTAGAGGGGTTTGAATAAGCCCTCACAGGCCAGCCTTGCTTCCTTGTCCCTCCTCCACAGTGTGGACTCCTCTCCAACAGCCTGACCCTCCCCTGCTGCTGTCCCGCTTCTAGGTATCAGCTTTCACAAGTTCACCTGGCAGGAGGGCCAGAAACGGCTGCCGCTCATCGGATGTATCCTCCTCCTCATTGTCCTCGTGGCGTCGCTCATCCTTCTATGTGAGTTTATGGGAAGGCTCTGGTCACGGCTGGGTGGCACGGGGTCTGGGGTTGCTGGCATGCGGCATGCAGCAGAGAGATGGGAGCGGGGAACATACATTCCCCCGGCTACCACGTCCACAGAGGGACACTCCTGCAAGTGGCCTTGGACCGTGGCGCCCCAGGCCCTTTGAGGTAGCTGGGTTACGAATGTAGGAAGTCAAAGGAACCTGGCCTTGAGTCCTGTCTGTGCTACTTACTGTGCAAATCCCTCAGGCAAGTTAGCTAACCACTCTGAGCTCAGTTTCTGCACCTCCAATGGGATTAAATTCATATACTCATTCAACTTACTGTGTGCCCAGTAAAATCTCATAAAGACGTCACTGGGTTATGAGACATAATGAGATAAAGGCACAATGCCTGGCACAAAATCCCACTCTAACAATGCTGGTTACTGAAAAAAAAAAAGCGAAACATAAAAATGCTGATTACGGCAAGTCCCTCAGGCATTTTTAGTCAATGGGAGAGTGTTCAGGGGTTCAGGCCCCCTCATATTCCTCCCCCTCTTTGCAAAGGATTCTCAGGACATGTCCCAGGGCTCTCTGCCCAGGAGTCCACTATGAGCCCACACAGTGGGAGACCTAAGCGGGGAGCAAAAGGGGAACACATCTCACGCCACCCCATCCTCTGGGAGGGTACAACCTCCTGGGGCACACAGCTGGAAATGATTAAGGCCAAATGCATTTGAGTGTGACTATCAGGAAAAGGTGACAGCTGTGTGGGCCAGGAGGCAGGGAACAGCTCATGAAGGCCGTGGGGCCAGATGAGGACCTGGAAGATGGGAGAGCAGCTGCGGGAAATGATGGGGCAGACGGGCAAGGTCAGCATGGGGAGAGGGAAGCGACCACCTAACCAGAGAGGAGAATATACATATGGGGACCTGGGGCCGTCTGTTTGGTTGAGTACAGCCAGGCCACAGTGTAGAGAGCTTTGAATGCCAGGCTGAGGGCTAAGGATTCGGTTAAAGAGGCAGCATGGTGTGGTGAGGAGCGAGGTGAAAACACCCGGCTGGCGGGGCTGTTTGAGGAAGAGGATTGGGCGGAAGGAGGGAGTGCGCTGGTTGAGTATGGCTTGAGCACCAGACACAGATCTGCCGGAGCACCCCGCTCTGCCTCTGACCAGTTGTGCGACCACAGCAAGTTAATTAACTTCCCGAGCCTCAGTTTCCCCACCTGCCTGACAAGGTGGTGGCATCACTGTCATGATGCATGTAAAGACCTCACTACCGTACCTGCCACCTGGCATCCGTGTGACCCTCCTGCAGGGACTCACTGCCCTGCTCTCCCTCCCTTCCCCAGACAGGGCACCGCTCCAGGGGAGCCCCCCGGTAGTGCACTGACAGCAGTAGGAAATAACCCGTGGAGGGCGAGATGGCACCCGAGGGTGGCTCCCTAAGTAGAGTGCTAGCTTTCAGCGTGGTTTCACAGTGTTTGCAGAAGTCCCTTGACCTCTAGACCTCCCAGGGCCAGGGAGGGGCTTTGACTTGTGCATTCACTGAGCAGCTACGTGGTGGGGCCAGGCCTAGAGCCGCAGCCTCCAGACTCCCCGTCCAGAGCTCTCTCCACTGCATGTCAGGGCCACGCCTCGACACGCGGCTTCCTGAGCATTCCGAGCAGGACCGCAGAGGGTTCCGGGAGTTCAGTGCCCAGGGCGTGGGAGGGGGGAGACCAAGGCACGGAGAGGAGGGGCCACCCCAAGAGATTAGGAGGGGTTGGTGTCTGGGCTTGTAAAGAGCAGTCACACAAGGGTGACCTTCACCTTGAGTGACCGAGAGCATGGTGGGGCCAGTGGGAGAAGTGGGGGCTGGGGCTGAGTCGTCGGTTGCAGACAAGAGGCGGTGAGGAGTTAGAACTCGAGTTTCTTAGGCAACCATGGGGAGGTGTCTCCAGGCAGGAAGGACAGCAGTTCCTAGTCTGGAAAGAGACAGATGTGAGAAGAGGTCATGAAGCTGACTTTCACTTGTGGTTTGTAAAACTGTAGTCTCTTCAGCCCAACTTGTGCATTTGGGAGTCAGCCACCTAGAGTTGCTCTTTGAATAGGAAGACATTTAAAGGCATAAAGACAAGTAATGGAGCCAGAACTGAGCATAGGGGACATCCCTTGTTTAGGGGAGAGGGAGGAGAAAGAAAATCCTTCTGAGGATGGCAGCACAGCCTTTGAGAAGACAGGACAGGTAACAGTTGCATGTGTGTGACTATGATGATAGAAATTTCTCTGCTGTGACCTGCAGGGCACAGAGATGAAGGGATGCAGAGGGGCTCTGAGAAGGGGCCTCTGGGATACTGGAGGAGGTGGTTTCTCTGGCCACCACTCTGGCCAGCATGTAGGGCAGGGGAGCTCCCAAAGCAGTAGCCACCTTCACAGCCTCCCCTGCTCCCTCTCTCTCTCTTTTTCTCTCGCTGGGTGGCTGCTTGAGTCTGCCTGGTGCTGCCCTGCTTGAAGGAGAGCTTTCTGGAGCATTCTGGAACATTCCTGAGCAGCTTCTCTCTCCATACAGATGGGGGACGAGAGCCCCAGAGTCCAAGAGGGATTGCAGGTCGGTGTCTTAGAACTCCCAGGGCCTCGGGCTGCTTCGTGTCTTGTCTCTCCGGAGCTGGCAGTGACCCAGCTGTCTGCTTCATTTTTTCAGTCTACTTCTGGCGGGGCCACACAGGGATCAAGTACAAGGAGCCAGAAGAGAGCTGCCCCAAGCACTCGGTGCGCTGTGATGGGGTGGTGGACTGCAAGCTGAAGAGCGACGAGCTGGGCTGTGGTAAGGAGGCTGGGCATGGGTATGCATGTGCATGTGTGCGTGTGTGCACTCTGGTGACTGCAAACTGTGTATCAGCTCAAACGGGAGGCAATGGACAGAGAATCAGAGGATCTGGGTTCTAGTCTCAGTAGACTTGGGTTTGAAACCTGGCTTTGAGTGCTGTGTGACTTGGGAAAATCACTGTGTTCTCTGGGCTTTAGTTCTCTAGTTTGTAAAAAGAGTGGATCAGATAGATTAGCAGTTCTCAAATAAAATCTGACAACTCCCAAATATAAGACTGAGCAAAGCAGAGCTGCTCTGGCTGGAGGGAGATGTGGGATCTGGAACTCCATCCACATGCCCCTCCTCTTTGCCTAGCAGGTGACCTCTGATTTGCCACCCTTACAGTTTTGTGAAGGTCAGTTTGTAAACAGCTGGCCTAGATGAGCACAAAGATCTCCTTGAGCTCTCTGGTCTTCAGTGGATTTTATGCATGTGGTCCATGCATAGTCCTGATGTGGGTGTCTGTGGGTACAAATCCCATCCATTCCACCTGTGCGTTTACATGTGTCCTTGCCCGTGACCACATCCATCTGTGACTGAGTCAGTGCAGTGAACACTTAGTCAGAACTTATTACCCTTGTCACTCTCTTTTTTGGGCATGTCACTGCCCTCTCAGGGTGACGGCTCCTGGCAGGGCTCGCTCCTTCTCCCGGCAATGGTCCCCTGGGTCCTGTTGCACGGGGAGCTCTCCGCCCTGCCCCAGCCCTTGGCCTTAGCTCTGCCCTTACTGAGTGTCTTGGGCTTCTGTGCACCGGCTGATGATCGTCACCTCCCGGGCCAAGCTCCCAGATGTTCCCCAGGCCTCAGCGAGGAGCCCCAGGACAGGAGTGTTCGGGAGCCTTTCTCAGTTCATCCTCTGAGAACTTGGAGCTCCTTGGGTGCTGAGGGCCCGTGCTGCCCTTTTCTCGCCCTGCAGTGAGGTTCGACTGGGACAAGTCTCTGCTGAAAGTCTACTCTGGGTCCTCCCATCGGTGGCTTCCCGTCTGCAGCGATAGCTGGAATGACTCCTACTCGACGAAGACCTGCCGGCAGCTGGGTTTCGAGAGGTGAATCGCCCCCTGGGGTCCCCGCTTCAGAGATGTCTCAGGCTCTTTGCTAGGACATCTCAGGCTCATCTCGGAACCTCATATTAAAAAGACCCTTGGGGACCAGGGCTGAGGTCACTAGTTCAGGAGACCCTTGAGTTATTCAAAGGGACAGTGGCCCTCGGAGCCCAAGTCTGGGGGCAACTGTTTCCATGAGGCCAAAGTACTTATTTCTTGATCTGCAATAGAACCACACTTCTTTGCATCAAGGCACCCTTGTGCCCGCTATCACATTTAACGGTCACAGTGGCCCTGTGAGGTGGGTAGGCATTTGGGCGGGTCTCGTCTTCTCACACCTGGGAACTAGAAACTCAGGCTGTGCAAACCCTTCAGTGGACTTTGAGCTGCAGTGGTTGTGGCTTGGGCTAGAACTCATCAAACAGGGAATGAGATGGGCAGGGGGTGCCAGGCAAAGTCATATGAATTGTTGGCTCTAAAGAGTTTAAACAAAGAAGCTGATGCTGGTGGGTGGAATGCGGAGTAGGGTTTACAATGACCTTCCTGCTTGATGGGGTCCCCAATTTGCAGGCTACATAGTCATCTCCATCCTCCCTCTTGGTCTGAGTTTTCAAACCAAGTAGTTTTGGGGTTTACCAACATGTGTGAAGTTGTGGGGAGAAGGGTTTAGGATCTCTCTGTGGATTTTCTGTAGAAGAAGCATCTAGAAAACCAGGGCTTGGGGCTAGGACTTAGAACCAGTTTTCCACCAGCGCCTCAGCCTCAGTGTTCAGAGCTGTGAAAGCGGGTTCTGGGGGATCTCCTTGGAAGACAATGGACATCTTTTGTCATTGAGTTGTGTGGCCTTATGCAAATCTGAACCTCCCCTGGGCTTCCGTAGAGAATGCCACTTATTCAAAGAACCTTCATTGAGCTTTTATTATGTGCCAGAGACTATGTGGCCCCCAGACAAGATCCCTGCCCTTGGAGAACCTCTGGTATGGTGTGGGCAAGAGAGGCTTAAACCAGCAATGACAGCACGATGTGATGTGTCATGATAAGGATGCGTGTGGAGCACCGTGGGCACACAACGGAGAGGGTGCCTGGCCATGCTCGGAGGAGAGCAGAGAATGGAGGAGGCGCTGGGTGGAGAAACAGCACATGTAAAGGCGCGCTCTCATGCAAGGGTGTGCCATGTTCTAGAAATACACAAAAGTGCCACGCAGATAGTGGTCCACGGATCACCCACATCAGAATCACCTGGGGTGCCTGTTAAAATGCACGCAAAAATCAGAATCTCTGGGATTAGGATTTAGAACCTGCTTCACGAACCCCCTGAGCTGATTCTTAGGCACATTGTGGTCTGAGGTCCAGTAAATCGAGTAAAAGGTTCTCAGAGTTTCACATGCAAACCTGTAACATGGGATCTTTAACCGGCTTCTGCTGCTCTGTGGATCACAGTTCAGGTAGAAAGCGGCTAGGCCAATGTTTCTCAAACTTGAGAGTGCATCAGAATCACCCAGAGAGCCTGTAAAAATACAGAACCAGGGTTTCTGATTCAGGAGGTCTCAGGGAGGGCCGAGCATTTGCCTTTCTAACAAATTCCCAGGCGATGCTAATGCTGCTGTTGGGATAAGACCACGCTTTGAAAACTCCTGGGCTAATGCGTAGGGCGAGTAGGGGACCGTGATGGGATCTGCGGGAGGGGTCTGAGCGTATGGGGCCTTATCTGCCTGTGGCCTGTGTCAGCAGGGCTGGCTAGGACTCTAATGCTGGCTGGGGGGCCCGGGTGGCCTCTGTCTCAAAGGAGCTCATTCTTCCCCTCTCCTCCCTTGCAGTGCTTACTGGACAACCGAGGTGGGCCACAGGGATTTTGCCAGCAGCTTCTCAGTCTCCAAATACAATTCCACCATCCAGGAAAGCCTCTACAGGTACAGTGGGGCAGGCCAGGCGCTGCCTGTCTGTGAGCAGGGGATGGGGGGAGCTTTGAGTCAGGGTCTTTTGGGACCCACTCAGCCTCCAGGAGTCCATCATGAAGGTCAGGAGCATCTCAGAAGCAGCCCTCATTCATCCTCTGCCTCCTGAATTAAAAGTTATTATTGACTCTTGGTGCAGAGAGCACCTCGAGGTCAGGGGTGCCCCCAAGAGTTTACCTGGTTGCCAGAGACAATGAATAAACCTTGGGGCCACCAGTCAGCCAGGTGTTTGGACCAAAAGCTGCTGCAGAGAGTGAGCTTGGGGTGGGGAGAGAGAAACGTCTTTGAGGTCAGGAATGGGGAGGCGGGAAGCAGCAGGGGAGTGCCAGGTGCATGTGGTCAAGGACAAGAGGTCCATCTGGGAAGCATCGGCCTCCTCCTGGGCCTGGCCATCTGTCTATCTGTACACTGCAGCCCCGCCCTTGTCCCAACCCCATTGAGGAGGGGTTTGGGGGAGCTCCACCAGCTAACAGTGCACTTTCCCTGGGGAGAGGAAAGAAGAGAAGGAACAAGGCTCCGAGAGAAGAAGGGATGGGGAGGGGAGGGCAGTGAATTAGCTGCATCCTGGATGCCTGCTTTGCGCTGGGCAGTTTGCATGCTACATTGTTGGCGGAGCATCGAGGAACTATTGGGGAGCATTAGGCCACCTGTTTAGCTCTGGAAAGACGCTAGGACAATGAATTCATGAGCTCAAAGGATGCAGATCCGGCCAATGTGTGCAATCTGCCACAGGAAAACTTGTGGGGGCAGGGAGAGGAGTGGGGACAGTTTGCACTGAGCTATCCCCATTGATGGAGAAAGCCCTGGAAGGATCTGTCCCACTGGGAGGGAGAAGGTCAGAATCTCTCACTTCTTGTGCAAAAGGAATGGGATAGGAACTTAGCAGGAGTCAATCAGGGAAGGCTTCCTGGAGAGACTGGCTAATGCACCCTTTTCCCATCTTCTGTGTCTCCTGCAGGTCTGAATGCCCTTCCCAGCGGTATGTCTCTCTCCAGTGTGCCCGTAAGAAGATGCTCTTCCTCCTGGATTGGGGCCGGAGTGGGGACAGAGGGGTGGGACTCCACTGGGGAAGATGGCTAGCCCTGAGGGTTCAATCCAGGAAGAGGGGATTAAGCATCAGGCCTGCTTCAGGGCCAGGGTCCCTGTAAGGCACTGGGACAATCTCAGGGTAGAATTTCTCCTTCTCCTGACTCTGCTCAGCCTAGCAACCTCGCTCATACTGAGAAACCATTCAAGTCTCCCGGATTCTGGGCAGGGGGCAGAGGACTGGGAAAGCAAGTCTGGGCCAGCTGAAAGCTCATGTACCCATAGATGTGGAACTAGGTCCAGAGCCGAAATTTACCCAGGACGCTCTATGCCCAAGGCACTGTGCCTATAAACATGATTGCATTTAATTCTCACGTGGCAGGTGCAATTATTTTGTTCACTCACTGAAAAGAGGCTGAAATGTCTGCCTTGCTTAAGGGCAGACTGCTGGGAGGTGAGGAGCTGGTATTTGACCCGAAAGTCCAAGCTGTAACCCCGTCCACAAGTGCTGTGTTCTCAGTAATGACCAGTTGGCGGCGCTGCTCTGAGCAGGCAGCCACAGCACTACGCACTGAGTGCCCATACCCTCAGACCACTGCTGGTTCTTCACTCTCTCCTCCTTCAAAGAAAAAAGAACACAAGTCTGAACAAACCCCAAGGGCTGCCCTCCTTGTCCATGGTTTTGGGGGGATGACTCGCTCCAGAACGTGTTTGGAAATGTTCTCTTGGGGTACAGGGCCCCCAGCAGCACTAAATGACCCATAGGGGAACCATGTGAGCACAAACCCGCCTGTGCATCATGGGAAGTTTATTTCTCCTTTGTTTGGAAATGACAGAGATCCCCGTCACAGCGCGTATCAGGTCAGGGTCATGTTAGACTCGGCCAGCTTTCCCGAGCTCCTGACTGTGGCCCTGGGAGTCACCACTGTGACCCTAATGCCTGGCCTGGTGCCCAAAGCATTGGGCACTTAGTAAGCATTTGTCCAACTAATGAAAGAAGGAATGAGTGGGAGGAAAGAGGAACCTGCCTAGGATCCAACTTCCCTCTGGATGACCCCAGAAAACTAACCCACCACCTGGGAGCTCTGCTTGGGCAGGAGAAAACCGTGCTGCATCAGATTAAGTGAGCAAAGCAAAGAAAGTCCATGTGGGGTGGGTGGGTGCCCTCAGGCTGGGGCGGCTTGATCACGCAGTGCCTCTGAGAGAAGCGGAGTTCACAGTCCTTCTCTTCTGCTTCTCCCCAGACTGTGGACTGAGGGCCATGACCGGGCGGATCGTGGGAGGGGCGCTGGCCCCAGAGAGCAAGTGGCCCTGGCAAGTTAGTCTGCACTATGGCACCACCCACGTTTGTGGGGGAACACTGATCGACGCCCAGTGGGTGCTCACGGCTGCCCACTGCTTCTTTGTGTAAGTGCCCAAGGGGTCGGGTAACGTGATGGAACTGAGGTTGGGGATCACCAGGAATGGCTGATGGCAGACTGACCTCTCTCTCCCTGGAGGAGGGCTTTGGTGTGAGCCCGGCCTCACTGGCCAGGTGGCACTGGTGCAGCGAGGGCCGTGATTTGCTTTAGGTATTTGGTCCCCGAGTGTGAGCTGGGGGCACTTGTTCCGAGCTAGGCCCAGAATGAGAAAATACCGTTGATGGCCCCTAGGGAGAGTGGGGCAGACAGGAAGAAGGACTGGGGAGCCCGCCCCTGAAGAACAGGGTGAAACAAAGAGGCTTTGGGTTTGTGGCTGCTTCTTGTATCTGGAACTTACAGGAGAGGAGCCCGAGGAGTCAGGACCACTGTCCCAGGAATAGAAGAATGGGGACTGCAGTCGGCTTCTGACAGTCACCAGCCAGGCTGGCCCCTTTGAGCTGGGGGGCAGGAAAGGGCTCTGGAGATGAGACCTCAGGGGCCCTGGCTCCCCAGGAATGGGTCTTCAGCGGGTCACTGACCCGTCTGCAGCTCCGTTTCTGCTGAGGGTAACACTACTGAGATGTGTCCCGTCCACCTTCTTAGATCCTTGGTGGAGTGCAGAGAAGACAGTGGGGCGAATGCTCAGAGGTCTTACCCATCCTCTTTGTTATTGTAAGGTGCAGAGCGGCCAGTTCAGAATGGTTTTTGGGGGGGTATGGGAGTGTTCTAGACCCCTAGGCTAAGATAGAGTGCTCCCTCCAGAGGTCATTTCATCCATCCTCCCGCCTCCAAGCTGGTGATCCAGCGGCAGCTCCCTGCGGATAGCAGATGCTGCCCGTGGGCTCCCCCAGGCGGGTAACTGGACAATGCTCTCTTGTGGCTCATGCAGGACCCGGGAGAAGATTCTGGAGGGCTGGAAGGTGTATGTGGGCACCAACAACCTGCACCAGCTGCCTGAGGCAGCCTCCATCTCCCAGATCATCATCAACGGCAACTACACAGACGAGCAGGACGACTATGACATTGCCCTCATGCGGCTCTCCAAGCCCCTGACCCTGTCTGGTGAGTGAGTCAAGGCCTGTCACACCCCACCCCGGCTCGTCCCAGCAGCCCTCGGGCCCAGCCTTTGCACTTGGCAGTGTCCCACAACATCTCGGGGTCCCAGAGCTTCATTCAGCACTATGGAAGTCAATGACTCTTAGAGATCATGTAATGGAACACCTCTATTTCACACCTGGGGAGACGGAGGCCCAGAGGTTGGAAATAAGTGTGCCCCAAATGACACATCTTACATTGCAAACGCTGACAGAGCAAGGGCTTGGCTTACTGGTCTTAATCAATACAAAAAGATCAAATTGTTTCACTGGTGTTTATTGAGGACTGAACAGGGGCCAGACACTGTGGTAGGAATTTCACACCTACGATTTCACTGACTCTTCACAGCCAATCCTGTGGAGCAGGTACTATTATTAGCTTCATTTTACATTTAAGGAAACGGAGCTTCAGAGAGAGGTAATCACCCGAGGCCACGGAGTAATAAGTGGCAGCTCCAGGACTCGATCCAGGTCTGTCTGACTCCCAAGCGATCCTCTTCCCACCCGGCCCTCTGCTGGCAAATTGCTAGCACTGCAGCTGAGAACACACGACAGGCAGGCCACATTCAAACCACTAATTGGCACGAGGTTGGAGCTAAGGACCCAAATGAGGCTACAGGAAGGAAAGGCTACTGAAGTTCTTGGGAGGAGATCAAAGAAGGCTTCATTCATTCATGCATTCACTCATTTGCTCACTTACAAATACCTACTGTGTGTCTACTCTATAGCGGGCTCTGCCTTTGCAATTGTAAATAGAACGAAACAGGTGACACACACAGCCCGTAGAGGCCAATGATGCCAATGATGTGATGTGGGGGCCGCCGGGGGGAGCCGTGGTGGCACAGATAGGGGCCCCTACTCAGGCTTGGCAGGCTGGGAGGCTTCCCTGAGGCAGGCTAGCTAAGGCGGAAGGGGATTTCCGGAAGCCTTGGAAGGCTCGCTGGTTAGTCCAGCCTTTCCCGTGCGCTGAGCCTGTGAGCTGGTCTTTCCTGGCACATCGACTACGGAGGCGGTGTCCCTCACGAGTCAGAGCAGTTAGCTCATCAAGTGGCGTGAGGAGGAGGAAACCTCGGCAGAGCTCGGTTGGGTGGGGCCGGCCCAGAGCCACGCCCACCCAGAGCCACGCCCCACCCAGTATCCCCCGCCCCCTGCCACGCCTTCTTCCAGCCTCCTCCAGCCTCCTCCAGCCTTGTCCGTGGAGCCTGGGGCTGTCAGGTGAAGGTGCCCCGCTGCCCCTGCCCTGCCCCTCATGCACACATAAAGCGGGGCAGGCGGTCTGCAGGACCAGGACAAGCCTTCCCAACCTTGTAAAACACAGACCCCGTTTGGTTAACCATCCGGATCTCATCTCCCACCACCCAACCCCCTTAATATTATTTCAATTCCAAATCAAAGTAAATAATTTGTAAAACCGAGTGAAAGCTGGTATAACATTGCATACACTTTTCAGACCATGATGGCAGTCTCTCTCCTGACTCTGATGCCCCCAGGCAGGGAGCAGACCTAGTCTGAGAATCAGCTCAGAGTCGTGTAGACCTGTGGTCAGACCATGAGCCCCGGTTTTTGGTTTGGAATCAGGGCAGATTTTCTTCAACTCGTTTGACAGGCTGAGCACTTTGAAGTCACAGTACTATCTGGGAAAACCTGTGAAAGCTCACGGATAAATATAATTCCCCCATAAAAGCAAGTGGAATGTATAACAGTGTTACGTGGTTTTAAAGACTCCATCTCAAAAAAGACTATTTTAAGAAATCATGTTTTGCATTGTTTTGTTCATAACTGATGCCATTCCTTCATTTATTTTTTGTTTGTTTGCTCAGCAGCAGACAAATGTTAGATACCAATGAAGAATTTAACAGCCGTTCTCCCTCCTTCTCTCTCTCCTTCCCTCTTTCTCTCTCCTCCTTCCCTCCCTCCCTCCCTCCCTCTCTCCCTTCCTCTTGCCTCCCTTCCCTCCTTCCATGTTTGTGGAGTGCTTCCCATGTGTCAGGCTCTGGGTGCAGGAAGCTGCAGTGAGCATGAGAAACCATTGAGAGTGCTGCAAACATTCTCTGTATCAATTAATATTTTCCTCTTGCAAAGTGGAGTTTGTGGTCAGTGTCCTAATCCACCTGGGGACGCCAGTCCTCAGCAGGAGTTCATGAAGCGATACACAGCAGCACCTTCTAAATGCTACTGAGTGTGGGAGCAAGTGAGCAGTATTTTTGTGGTCTGTGCCTCTAGGGATGTGCTCTTCCCCCTTGGAGAGACTGTCTCCCCCTGGACGGAGGGCCTCGGGCTCTGGGCACCCAGTGGGTACCCTCCCCAGACCAGGCTGGCACAGCACTGAGACGCCATAGTGACCGTGGCTGGGGCCTAGCCTGCTGCCCCTTGCTCTGACCGACAGGCAGGGAAGAGGCTCAACGGGAGAGCTACTCTTGGTGGGGACAGATGTGCGGCCACCCAGTATCAACTTGGTACAGGGGAGCTTCCAAGGCACAAGCCTCTGCCTACATGGCACCCACGGAAATCAGAATGTCTGGGGACTCTGGCAGCACCCTGAAAGCTGGAGGGTCAAGATAAAGTGATTGTGTTTCTTGCCTGGTCAGTTCAAGGCCCTGGAAGATTCAGAAACACTCTGGGGGCAAGGAGGGGGTCCTAGGATATTGGTACTCCTGCCCCTCCACCCCCCTCCCCACCGAAATGTCCAGTGTTGTCCGTTCACTGACGTCTTGAGGTCTTGTTACAGCTCACGTCCACCCTGCCTGCCTCCCCATGCACGGACAGACCTTCAGCCTCAACGAGACCTGCTGGATCACAGGCTTTGGCAAGACCAAGGAGACAGATGGTGAGAGTCGGAGATGCTAGACTGTGTGTACGTGTGCGTGTGTGTGCGCATGTGCCTGTATATGCGCGTGTCTGTGTGGAGTGTGTGTGGGTGATGTGTTGGGGTATTAGGTCAGGGTCTATCTAGATGAGTGTTTGGGTATATAGATCCATGGGCCTGGGTGTGAACGTGTGTATATACACACCTGCGTATGTGTCAGAGCAGTCCATGTGACAATGCCCTCAGCCAAGACCACCAGGAAAACCCATATGGTTGAACCAGTTGGGTTCATTGCTCACTGCGCTGAGGGAGGACATACCCCACGGAGAACCACAAAGCGTGTCAGAAGGAGGGTGTTGGAAAGGACTTAGAACCGGACTTGGGAGTTCAAAGAAGCGCAGCCTTTCTCTGGATTGGATGCTTTCAGGAAGCAGAGATAATTCCATGATTGGGTATCTTTACAATGTCATCTAGGAGTTAAGAATAGACTGAGTCTAGAGCTATAATTGGTAAAGAAGCAGCAGTCGCTCACACTGGCTGGGAGAGGGGGTTGTTTGGTTTTTTCTGGTTTGCCCAGTGACCTACCTTGTTTTCATTCATGCTTAAACGAGATTCTGAAGTGGTCGTGTTTACCTCACTTTGTCACTGTCAGAGTGGCCTTTCTGACATTGGTTCTGTAGGATTGTGCACGTTCCACAGGAGGGCACTGCGGCCTGCTGGCCTCGCTGTTGGACCCAGGCCAGTGGCAGGTGTCAGGGCCACCTTCCCCTTGCTCAGCGTGATGGAGGGGAGACTGGCCTGGGAGCAGCCTTTTTCTGACCCCGGCTCCATAACCAACTGGCTGTGTGACTGTGGGCAGGTCACTTCTTCAGCCCTAAATTTCTCCATCTGTGAATGGATTAATGATCCCTCTTTCAAGCACACAGTTACTGAAAACAAATTAAGTGACACATTGGATGGAGCTCTGAATGCAGAAAAGCGTTGTGTGGCCTATAAGGGAGCTGGCAGGCTTGTGAGTTCGTCCGTGTCCGTGTATGTTTCTTTGTTATGTGTAGTGAGTTGTGTCTGGTGCAAGGGTGTGTGTGCCCACGTGTTCCGAGGCCAACCACAGAAGGGTGCCCTCCATCCCCAGGAGGCTGTGAGTCTGCGTCCTGGGGGCTGGGGGGCAGCTAGAAGGCCACGAAGCTGTCCAGAGTCTCACTTCCTCTCATCCTCTCTCCCCCACCCCCTTCACTGAAGAGAAGACATCCCCTTTCCTCCGCGAGGTGCAGGTCGGCCTCATCGACTTCAAGAAGTGCAACGACTACTTGATCTATGACAGTTACCTTACCCCGAGGATGATGTGTGCTGGGGACCTTCGAGGAGGCAGAGACTCCTGCCAGGTGAGGCTGCTTCTGGGTGGGGCTCCAGTCCTGGGACGCCAGGCGAGTGGAAGAAGGCTGGGGGTTTGAGGCTGGAGTGAGAATCACGTGCCCACAGTTTCCTGCTCAGGAACCACCTCTCCCCTCTGCTGATGTGCCTGCTTTCCCCTGTAGGGAGACAGCGGGGGGCCCCTGGTCTGCGAGCAGAACAACCGCTGGTACCTGGCGGGAGTCACCAGCTGGGGCACGGGCTGTGGCCAGAGAAACAAACCCGGTGTTTACACCAAAGTGACAGAAGTCCTTCCCTGGATATACAGCAAGATGGAGGTGAGAGCCCTGCCTGGGGCCACCGAGCAGGCTGGGAACTCCCAAAGGTGGGGTGCCTGGAAGAGGGCCCAGGCTTTCCCCAGGGTCTCAGAAGAGGTCCTCTCTCCCCTTCATGTTTGGGGGTGATCAGAAAGTGCGGAAGACCAAGGACAGGACAGAAGTCGAATGTTGGGCCAACCCCAGCTGCCTGAGTTCCTGCCCCTCCTTTTCCTCCTTTTCCTTGGAGGGTCGGAAAAGGGCGGGCCTAGGCTGGGTGGCGGCCCCAGTATCACTGTCCTCTCCCCAGTGGTAGCCAAGCTGTGGGGTCACACAGGCCACTGAGACTAGGGGGCCTCTCCTCCTTAGCAGAAGCTGGTCTCATGGGGAACTGGGCATCAGGAGACGAGGACCCACCCCAACTCTTGCTGACCCAGCTTGGCCCCTGCCTTCCCTGGGCCTACCGTCGAGCAGGAATGCTGTGCCTGCCCTTCCCTTCTCTGCCTGGCCAGGGCGGAAGAGTAGAGAGAGCTCAGGTGGGGACAGGGGAGGCTGCTCCAGAAATCCTGTGTGACGGCTCTCCCAGAAACTGCCTCTGTCTTTTCCCTTTCATTACCTCTCTTCTCCGAGGGGCAGTTCCAGGTGACAGCAGGGCTGAATTTTAGGCTCTGAACCCCCGCCTTCAGCGTCTGTGTTCCTAGCCCGACCTCACCCTCTTCTCCCTCTGTTCTTCCTCAGAATGAGGTGCGCTTCCGGAAATCCTAAGCAGCTGTCCTACTCTTCCACTCAGCTCTGGCTGCTGGAAAGACTCTGCCAAAGTGACTGGGCCATTGGCAACATCATCTGGGCTAAAGGCCACCAGACACCTTTGTTACTGCCACCTCCACTGTCTGCTGCTTCTGTGAATATGCACGTGTGTGTGTGCGCGCGTGCGTGCATGTGTGTGCGTGCGTGTGTGTGCACGTGTGTGTGTGTGTGCGTGCGTGTGTGTGTGCGTGTGTGTGCTGCTGTTCTCCCAAGGTCTTAAGAAACCAGGAGAACTGTTAGCTCTTCCCAAAGCCCAGGCTGGAAATCACCTGGAGATAACAGTCTGGGCACCGCGGAGGTCCCTACAGGAGTGTCCGTGATGGATGGAGGAGGCAGAGCCCAGGGAAGGGCCTGAAGCTCACCTGGGAATTCCTGCTCCTCTGACCTGGACTTGGAAACTAGCCCAGAATGGGCAGCCACCTGGCAGCCCAGGTGACACCACTGCTGTCCAGGGATGATAGCACTTTTCGCTGGGGTGCCTGGACTATCTCTAGCGGCAAGATGTTCTGTGGGCATTGCGAGCATCCCGCTGTCTCTCAGGCCTCCCGCGGGTGCCGTGGATGTGGAGAGCGGCCGCGCCGCGGGTGTCCGTGCTGCCAGCTGTGACCAGGCCTCACTGTTCTTGTTTGGTCACAGGCTGGTGGGGGCGGATTTCCTTTTATTTTATTTTTATATTGAGGAAATGGAAGTAGATGTATTTTTAAAGATTCTCCAGAATTCCAGGAGCGAGGAGAACTAGCATCAAGTCCCCCAAGAACTCCAAGGGACTTATGGAGGTTGCGTGGCTCGAGCGTCCTGCAGAATGTCCTGGTCTCAAGGGACCAGATAAAGGGGCCCCTTTGAGATACTCAGGGAAGTGAATCCTCACTGGGGCCGGTGGGCAAACTCAAAGAGAACCACAGCTGTTGCTGCATCCAAGGGCTCCGAGCAGAGCATGAAGAAGTCTGTGGGCCCCCGGAGCCTGGGAAAATGCAGGCAGACACGCATCCTCATACCCAGCGCTGTCCTGGGACCTGGGAGTTTCTTCTCAGCTTCCTCCACCTTCCAATTTCTCAGTTGTTCTAGAAACATAGCACTGACGTGAAAACTGCCATGGAGAGAAAGCTGCCACTGTCCCCAGGCCTTCCAAACAGGCTTTCTGAAGGATCCGAGTTGCCCTGCTCCTGCAAGCCATCTGTGTGCCTGGCCTCCATGCCAGCTGAAGGCCCGGACCTCCCCCAGGGGCATCCATTCCTCCCTCAGTCCCATCATCCTCACCTTCCCTGGGCCTGTCTGATGATGCCATGACTCCCAGAGGCAGGGTCCACGCAGATGAGCCCAGCCCAGCCCAGGCAGGCAGCTACTCAGTAGGAGGATTGCCCTGGAGGAGCAGGCTGGAGTTGGCTAGCGTGGCTGGGCAGAGTCTGAGGGGTCTGGCTACATGTTGTCAAGGCTGGGGGTCGGGGAGGGCAACATGCATGTCCACAGCAGCCCCCAGCAACAGTCTTTAGCAATTAAAGTTGCGTTATCTAAAAAATTTGTCATTAAATGTTTAACTGGTACCCTAGGTAGGAAATTGAGGTTGTCCACCCAGGTGCCCAGACATCCTCAGTTTGGGTTCTGCTCATTTAATCATCCGTTCATTGATTTATTCATTCCCCCACCATATCAGGGACTACTCTGCCAAGTACTCCTGCCAGGCTCAGTGGTACAAAGACCGTGGTAGTGTCCACAGGAACTCATGGTCGTAACCCAGTATAATGGAAGCTATGATTCAATGTGGACCCTGTACTGGGACCATGGATGAAGAAGCCGCCAGCCACACCTAGAGAGGTCACCTTCACAGAGGAGCTGAGCTTTGAAATGAGTCTTAAAGAGTAGGTGAGCCTTCACAAAGCAGATGCGGGCCAGGGGAACGGCTCTCCAGTGCCTGCCTTTTTTCTTCCTTCCTCTTTCTCTACATCTGCCTTTGCCAGCTCAGCAAAAGCCATGTTTACAAGGAAGCCCCAGTCCTTACTCCACTATTTCCAAAAGAATCGGATGGGTGGTCCCATTGGCCTCTTCTGAAAGCTCTAGCCCTTCTGGCTCTACGTTTACTTTTCTCGCATTTAATATATTGTCCTCTACCATTATGTTCCTAGTGATGGATGCCCAGCACCCAGCACCCCATTGCACACACTCATGCCTCTAGCCACAGGCACCAAATTCTCCAGGCCTGGCCTTTGGAGCCCTCAAGTTTGTTGGCTTTAGTCTCCCATATCAGTGCCAGGGGAAGCCCTTCCTCCAATTCTTTTCTTGTTCTATCTGTACAAGAAGCATGGGGAGGGCACAGGTGCCAGGCTTACTGTCTTAGCATCAAGAGTAACACAACTGCTGTAACAGATCCCACAATTCCCCCAACCCCCATGGCTTACCACAATCTAAGTCTATTTCTCATCCACCTAACGGTCCAAGGAGGGTGTCTAATCAGTGGGAGGCTTTCTTTCACATGATGTTTCAGGGATTCAGATTCTTTCCACCTAGTGACTTTGTTATCTGCTTCCAGCCAGTGGAAAGAGGAAAGACATGAAGAAAGCATATCCACTTCTTAAATGCTGTGACCTAGAAGTGATTCACGTCATCGTCACATTTTATGGGTGTCAACGTGTCACATGGAACCACCCAGATGAAGTGGGACTGGGAAATGCAGTCCTTGGCCAGTTGTCATTCAGGCGTGAGCACTTGTTTTGGAGGACAACCAGCTGTCTGCCCACCAGAGGAAGCTGGTCATATCCCAGAAGCCAAGCCCTGGGGCAAAGAGCTAGGGCTAAGGCCATTTCCATCCCTTTCTCCTTAGCAACCAGACCCTTTCCCTCCTCTGCCCAGGCTTCCTGAGGCATAAATTGATTTGCAAGGGTGTAGAGGTGTGCGTGTTGGCAGAGAGGTAAGGTACAGAAAAAGCAGTATCTAGACAGAAAAAGAAAAACACATTCCTTAGGCCCAGGACGTCTACAGAGACAAAAATCATGGAAGGTGGGTGATGGAACTTCCCAAATAGGTCCAGAATCTCCTGGGAGATGTGTGTGCATTGGTGGTGGGAGGTGTTGCCCGAGACAATGTCCTGTGGTCCCTGGGTCCCAGGCATCTCCAGGGACCAGTCATACTCTCTGGCTTTGTTAACTCTGTTGACTGCTGAGTTTCTCTGGGGAAGGACAGGAGGGCCAAGTCAGTGTGTTAGGGGTGGGGCAGATGATGGCTCTTTGGAGAAGGAGCCAATTACAGCCTAGCTGCCCATCCAGCTGCCTCTGGAGTTTGGTTAGATTCCCAAGGGCTATTGTTTCCTGTAATTGCTTAACTGATGTCCTGATGCAGTTGGGACATTGGGAGATGCACGTGGAGAGCTCCTCGTAATGATAATGATGAGGATAATGGTAATAATAGCTAGCATTTGCTCAAGGTTTGCTGTGTGCCAGATGCTGTGCTAAACACCCGGTGGGTGTTATCTCCTATGAGCATGAAGTAGGCATTTTTATTGTCCCTATTTTATGGGTGAGGAAACAAAGGCCGAGAGAAGTGAAATAAGCTTCCCCAAATGACAGAGCTACTGAGTGGTAGAGTTGGATTTCGAATCCAGGATGTTGGATTTTAAAAGCTGCTTTCTGGGCCGGCCCGGTGGCACAGTGGTTAAGTGCACACGTTCTGCTTCGGTGGCCCAGGGTTTGCCAGTTCGGACCCTGGGTGCAGACATGGCACCACTTGGCACGCCATGCTGTGGTAGGTGTCCCACACATAAAGTAGAGTAAGATGGGCACGGATGTTAGCTCAGGGCCAGTCTTCCTCAGTAAAAAGAGGAGAATTGGCAACAGATGTTAGCTCAGGGCTAATCTTCCTCAAAAAAAAAAAAAAGCTGCTTTCCAAAATCAGTGGAGTCCCCCTAGCTGTGACCTCACAGCGTCCGCCCCGGCTCTGTGGATCTTTCCATTCTTCTTGGGGCCTCTGCTGTGCGAGGGGCAGGTGGGATAACTTCCCAGAGAAGCTGGGCACATCCCTCAGAGTGTCACACGACCAGAGCCTTAGACTGTGCAATTTCCAGAACCCAGGAAAAGTACACCGTGATTGGGAGGAGGCCCGTGGTGCCTCATCCATCCCTGTCCCAAGTGGATGGTCCAGGAGGTCCTCCCATGCCATGAGAAGCTGTCACCCCAGGACACCTCCATGTCTCCTCAATGTGGGTGGGTGGCTCTGAGAGGTACATGCCACTCATTCCCTACCTCCTCTGCACTGGCCCAGGCTGGCTCAGGCTTCCTGTTCCTTGGAAATCTGTCGCCCAGCCTATGTGGCAAGCTCCATCCGGATCTTATAATGGGCCCACCCAGAGAACATGCAGGTCCACGCTCTGGAGATAAGCAGCCTGGACTGTCCAGGCAGGAGGCTTGGAAGGATGAGTCCTGTGGGAAGGGGCGCGCACGGCCTGGTCTTTGATCCTCCACAGCTCAGCTCCTGCCAGCGGGACATGTGGACATAACAGGATGTCTTTTCTGTCCCAGCCCTGAGTGCCAGAAGAATTTCTTCACTTTTCATACAAGGAGGGAGCTGGGAATCTTCTCTGAATAATTCTTTCTAAGTACACCGTGTTGTGGTGGAGAGAGCACCGGAGTTGGAATCGAAGTACCTGGAGGTACAAATTCCAGCCCCACCACTTACGTAGCTATGTGGTCTTGGGCAAGCTGAGCTCTCTGTTTCCTTGTATGTAAAATGGGTATATCTATGTCACATGTTGTTGCCCAGTTGATGGGATGATGCATGTAAACACTCAGAGCAAAGTGATTGGCGTATTGTGACCTCTCAATGAATGTTGAATTTGCAGCAAAAGGGCCGGATCCTATACTCTACATCCCTTCGCCAAACAAATGAGATAGGGGAGGGGAATTTGATAAATCTCCAGGTCTTAGGAAATTTGCCATTTCTCTGCATAAACTTTCCTCTCAGTCTCCTGGCAATGAGTGACCTTCCATGGAAGTGACACTACCGCCTGGGGCAAACCCATGTCTCCTGCTGGTGGTTTCTCTAAGTCATGGAGCTTCACTGAGTTGAGCTCACCCTGCTTTCCCTTGTCGCTGGTGGGACCAGGATGGCGCTGGCCCTGGCCCTGCTCTGGTTGTGTCTGACTGCTTAACCAATGGAGGTGATGGTTCAGGCCTGTGAGGGGCACACATCCTGGTCCCCCATCAACTCCTCACTAACTCCAACTAATGTCTGTGGAGCCAGCAGGAATTTACTCCATGTCACTAAGGGACAAGAAATGTCACCTTTCTTTTTCAAAGCAGAGTAGAATCTGACTTTGAGCTGCTGCAGCCTGGCTGGAAAACACCCCTCGTCGTGTTCTCCCCCTGGAAGTGCAGCTTCGGGAGAGCCTGCCCACCGCTCTGCAGGCTGGGTGCTCAGACTGCAGCCTTCACAGGCAACCTCAGAGGGCTCTCCAGATAGACAGTAGCTCACAAACCGCTGCTCTCAGTACCCCTGCGCTCAGAAATCCCACTCTCCCCGGTCCTTTCTCTTCAACCCCCAAAGCCCTTCTCCTTGAAGACAGCTCAGGGCTGTCTCTCTTATGAACGTTGCACAAAGGCCTATAAATTTTCGTTTGCGTCAAAGCCATTCCTTCCTGATGAGATCACATAGAAATCAAGATGAGCATAGACTTCAATAATTGTGTCTAGATTTTCATGTAACCTAAGTTTTCCTTCCTCCAGGATAAATTACTATAGTTGGGATTGCTGGGTAATATGGTGATCACGTGTTCAACTTTATAAGAAATGGCCAAGCTGTTTTCAGAGGGGCGGTACCATTTTGCCTTCCCACCTGCAATGTAAGAGTTCCAGTTGCTCCACCTCCTCACCAGTCGTTGGTGTTGTCAGTATTTTTTATTGTAGCCATTCCAATAGATGTGTTGTGGTGTCTCATTGTGGTTTTAGTTTGCATTTCTCTAATGACTAATGATGTGGAGCATCTTTTTATGTGTTTATTTGCCATCTGTATACCTCTTTGGTGAAGTATCTGTTCGAATCTTTTGCCCATTTCTTTGTTGGGTTATTTGTTTCTTATTAGTGAGTTTTGAGAGTTCTTTATATATTCTAGATACTAGTCTTTGTTGGACATGTGATTTGTAAGTTTTACCTGAAATTGTAAATTTCAGGTTTTCTCTGTGGCTCGTCTTTTCACTCTCCTAACTGTGCCCTTATACAGCTAAAGTTTTTCATTTGGTGAATTCCAATTTACCAATTTTTTTCCTTTTGGATTGTGCTAAGAACTCTTTGCCAAATCCAAGCTCATGAAGATTTTCTCTGATGTTTTCCCTTAAGAATTTTATTGTTTTATGTTTTACATTTGGACCTACGATCAATTTTGAGTTAATTTTTGGATACTATTGAGGCATAAATTGAGGTTCATTTTTTGTTTGTTTGCAAATGGATGCCCAGCTGTTCCAGCACCATTTGTTGAAAAGACTCTACTTTTCCCACCCAATTGCCTTTGCAGTTTGTCAAAAATTAACTGAGCATATTGACGTGGGTGTATTTCTAGAGTCTTCATTCTGTTCCGTTGACCTATGTCTATTGTTTCACCAATGCCACCCTAACTTAATTACTGTAGCTATATAGTATGTCTTAAAGTTGTGTAGGGTGAATCTCCAAATTTGTCCTTTTTCAAAATTATTTTGGCTATTCCAGTTCCTGACATTTCTATATAACTTTTAGAATCAGCTTGTCTATATTTGCAAACAATCCTGTTGGCATTTTTCTTTTTAAAGATTGGCACCTGAGCTAACAACTGTTGCCAATCTTTTTTTTTTTCCTTCTCCCCAAAGCCCCCCAGTACATAGTTGCACATTTTTTTAGTTGTGGGTCCTTCCAGTTGTGGCATGTGGGACACCGCCTCAGCATGGCCTGACAAGTGGTGCCATGTCTGCGCCCAGGATCCAAACTGGCAAAACCCCGGGTCACTGAAGCGGAGCGCAAGAACTTAACCACTCGGCCATGGGGCTGGCCCCCCCTGTTGGCATTTTGATTGAGATTGCGTTAAATCTATGATCAGTCTGGAGAAAATTAACCTAACTATTGAGTCTTTCAAACCATGAACACAGTATGCCTCTCCTTTTTTTTCGGATCTTTGATTTCTTTCATCTAGTTTTTGTAGTTTTCAACCTATTTCACTACATTTATAGCTAACTATTTAATTACACATTAACATAATATTTTTATTCAAATAATGATATTTTTAAAAACAAAAACAAAGGAGAAGAGTGGCATTGTTTTACATTTTTACAAATCTCTTTAACATCTGGCTTAATAAAATAGCTGGATTTTCATACTTGCTTCAGTATTCAATCTGTTGTGATGTGTTGTTTTGGTTGAAATATATCAAGAAAATCTGATCTCCCACAGATATAGAGCTGGCAAGTGGAAGAATATTTTAATAGCCCTTTCAGATAATTGTGGATATTTTTCTTTGATACTCTACTCAAACTTGACAAGTGTAGCTCGTAAAGATTAGTTGCAACGTGGAATCTGAAACCTATCAATGAACTTGTTTACATTAAAATCTCCTGGTCTGTGTTGCTCTCCGAATGGGTCTTTTGCTCATGTCTAATTTTGTGACATCATGCATTGATCATTTGAAAAATATTAGATCTCACTTATGAACATCTTCCAAATGTTGACAATTTCATTTTGCAATACGAAAAATAATACGTACTAATATCACCACTCATCTCTTCAGAAAAGTCTTTAAGGATTGTAAAGCTGTCAAGCTCATGGTGAAGGATGCAAATTTTCCAAAACTCTAATTTTCAGTTGAAAGTTTAAATTCCATCATTAGCAACAAATACCAGATGTTTTCCTTGCCGTGACAAGCTCATTTTGTTCATTTTTGATAAAATGATTGCCAACTATCAAGTCTGGATAATCATTTGTCAGTCTTCATCCAAGTAAAAATGGTGTTTCATGAAAAAAGTGGCTAGTTCAGCTTGCAACTCAAAAATACCAGTGCTTTTCCTTGAGAAAACCTTACTACTCTGGTATGCAGCAGAAGCGCTTTATCCACACTTCCCGTTTTTCACGTGGAATATTAAAAGGACATGTATTCAGGATTGGGATTTAATAAAATTAATAATCATTAATAATTCATCTTTTCTACCACTTCATCAAAGATGTTCTTAAGTGAAACTGGCAACTGTGTGGTGGTAAAGCACAACGACTACAAGGACAGTTTGGTGTCGTTGTCTTGATTTGTGTTAAGGAGCCAGCAGTTTTGGCCACCATTGCTTTTATACCATTGGTGCAAGTGTCAACACGTGAAAAAGGCAAATGACATCATAGTATTATTATGAAAATAGTTTGACCCTCTGATCCGCTGAGAATGTCCTAGGCACCCCCGGGGGTCCTCAAACCACACTTCGAGGACTGCCGCACTAGACCACACCACAAGACAAAAAAGGAAATACACAGAGATTTTGGATAGGTATTTCTTAGAAATTCTGTTGGAACCATATTTTTATCTTACCCTCACTGCCCACTCTCAGGAAAAAGTGAACAATCTCTCATCTGAAGTCTAAGGCTAGTCAGTTTTATGCAGTGCTGTTGAGTCTTGTTGAAGAAG